AAATCTGTATCTTGACAAAACATTTTTCAAAAAGCACCAAGCTTAATACATTTCATACATATTTTTTAAAGGTTGTAAACCTTCGGATACCTTTCAGAAAGGTAAATCTGAACCAATATGAAATCTTGTCAAATTTTCAATTGCTCTGGGGAGCAATCTTTGCCTTGTGCAAGCATCAGTTTCTACTAATGCACTGTCAGCATTGCTAATACTGGGGCACAGGTAGTTCCCTGACCAATAACCTGAAGTGCAAAAGTTCCAGCAGACTCCTCTATTCTATTCATTAGTGTCAAGGATGAAGAACTTGTGGTGCTTCAGATGCTTTGGCCTACAACTCCCAATAGCTGTAGCCAGTATAGCCATTGGTGAGAGATTATGAGAGTTAAGTCCAAAAACATTTGGCTGGCCATTCCTAACATATGTTGCTGTGTGGTCCTCTGATTTATGCAGCAAGAGTGTTCTCTTTACTATAAATTGTGATGTGGCAATGATTGCATGGTGCAGTAAGAATTCAGTCAAAAGTCCAAGATACGTTGCCATGGATCGTGCTTAGTAGGCAAATCATGGGATTTATGCCCATATATTCTGCTTGCCCTTGTGAGCTCTGATTTCTCTCTCCCTTTGGAGCAAGCTATAGTTGCTGTGAAATCAAAACTGGCCAAAACATGGCTTCATTGAAATTGAAGTTTACTTCTAAACATGAGTTGGAAACCCAGTTCAAACAGTGTGTTTTTAATCTGGAGATAACCTGTGATTTTCACAAAACCATTGCCTGCCCAATTTGGAGATCACAATAGGGAAGACTTTGGGTAACAAGGAGTAGACAAAATATACAAGCTTGAAGTCCATTCATGATGGCCAAACTATCATGAATGAACTATCATGAATGAACTATCACTCCGAACTGGGTCTGCTAGTATTAATTAATTTTTAGGGTCACTCCAAGAGTTCACAGTCGTTCATGGCTGCATACATAGACAATTTTGAAAAAAACTAAAATGGATTCAAAGGGAGCCAAAGTTCTAAGGTTTGCTACTATGAACAACAGAAGCAAAAAACAAACACAACTCCAGGTGAATATTTTGAACTGTTTCATAGTTTAGGTGGTCATTGAATATCAAACAAGCCTTCTCTAATATTCAAATTATTTTTTAATAGTGGGAGATATCTCAAAAGGACCTTTTTTCATTGTTTCCAACTTACTAAATTATGACAATATTAGTGCTAATATATTGAATAAAACCAGAAAATTTGGTTTTATTCAATATATTAGCCAGAAAAGTTGAATCCTGAAGCACACATTAATAATAATGTATCACCAAGACCTGAAAGGTATAGAGGTTGCCTTGTTAATAGGCATTTTCTTCCAACAAATGAAGAAAACTAAGAATGTTATATATGTATCGAAAGTATACCAGTTTAATTAGCTCAACACATTCTGAAGTAGTTACATTAGTGTCATATAGCCATCCATTTTTGTTATGTTTTTTGTTTGTGTGCTTCTATCCCTAATGTAATTCATTAATCTGCTATTTATCTGCAACTCAAGGACAATTACCACAAAAGAACTGTTATACTTCTTTACTTCCATTTCTCATTCTGAGATAATAATACCAAGAGAGAATATGTGAGCCAACATCTTAATCACTGTGGAGGAAATCTGAGAATGTAACACTGGAATCGTTTTAAACTTTCTTCCTGTTACAGTTTCGATTTAGGTTTGGAAGCCATAAGTTTGATTTTGTTTGTTTGTTGATTGACTTTCCTTGTGAGTCTCCTCATTTTTTCTTTTTTAAGATTGCTTGCCACATGGCATAAGAGGCTGTCATTCACACAGCAGAAAACCAAAATGCCTTACTACCAGGGGCTTCTTCTTGGGTGGGTGGGGATTATTATGTACATCACATGAAAGGGAACACATTTCTTCTAGTAATTTTCTTTAAACTTTGCTCCCTGGTTCTGGGGATAAAATTTGTATGACCTGAACTACATATTGTGAATGCCTTTTGAATCCACACATAATTCTGACAGTTATCTACATTTTGTTTGCACTGTTATTAAATATTGCAGGGAAGATCATACATTCTATGAAACAAAAGCCTGTTTATCTCCAAGTTAGAGATTTCTCCTTATTTTTTTCTACTCTCTTTCAATCTTTTCTCCTGACTCCCCCCTCTTTTTTTGAGGGGAGTGGAGGCATGAGCAGGATAATATTTTTACTTTCTAGTATCTGGACTTACTGGCTTAAATGTTCACATTTCACTGTGTAATATAAAATTTCAGTGATGTGTGTCAGGGAAAAAAATCCTGGAAAAAATTCCAATGCTATATTTTTACATGGAAAATGTTGCATGCCACGTATGTCAGCATCTGTCCATAGCTGCCTGGGCAGCCGTACTGCAGTCAATTATGTTAGATAGCCCAAATATACAATAGCAACTTCTATAAGCTATTCTCCTGAGGCAAGCACTGACAAACCCTAGAGCTCAGTTGCCCATGAGGAAACTGAAAAATAAAGTGTGACAAGCCCTTCCTGTGCATAATGCCATTGGCTCCTTGTTGTGTCTGGAGCTTTTGCTTGAATTTGTCCTTGTTGCTTCTGTCCTTCAATCACAGACGGAAGGAAAATGGAAACTATGACCATGATTGCTGTTGCTTCATTTAAGAATATAAGAAGTGCCATGCTGGATCAGGCCAAAGGTCCAGCAAGAACAACATTCTCTTAACTTGGTGGACAACCAGGTGTCCTGGTATAAACCCCTCCACCCAGTTCAAGTTCCCCAGCTAATGTCCACACACCACAGATGCTCTTAATGAAACAGAATGTTCAACTAGTTTTTCTGAACCGGTGTTTTCCAACTTGAAATGGAACCAATAAGCAATTCAAAGTGTGAGGGAAGCTGAAAGTGCTACAGTTATATCAGCAACATACAGTTAAAGTGTTCAGATTAGATACATCAGCTCTCTTTGAGTAAATATCCAATAAACTGTGTGTTTCTGGTGTAGTTAAGTTTTTCAAAATATAAACAAATTTAAGTTTGTATATGTTATTATCTTTGCATTTTTACAAATATTCCAATAGATTTACTTCCACATAAAGCTTTGAATTAGTTTGAATATGACATTAAAAACATATTGTGAAATTCATTTAATCTCCCCAAAGCAAATATTTCCATTCAAATGCTTTGTAGCTGTTGGGAAAACTTTTGCTACATTTATAATCAAATTGACATGGATTACCATTTAATACATATGAGATTTTTGTATGCTTATTGAGGGAAATGTGTGTTGGGGAGGGAAAATGAGTCAAACTAATCTCCTATAACATTATGTAACACATTGGAAAAATTTGCAATTTTTTTCCAATTGTGTTCTTTCCAGAAACTGAAACTATAATAGAGGAACCACCTACAAAAGCACCTTTTCCCTAGTTTTTCATACAAGCATGTATCATACGTTCTAGATCAGTGGTGGCGAACCTATGGCACATGTTCCACACCTGGTACGCAGAGGACTCTCTGTTGGCATGTGAGCCAAGTTGCCCCAGCATCGCCCCAGCAGCTGAGCATCGGATAACAGCGCACATAGGGGCCATGCGCATGCTCAGAAAGGAGTAGCAGCACTAGGCAATGACGTCACAAGCTGCAACTCATTAGCCGCAACTCATCCGAGCTTTCGCATGGCTGGTCAGTGTACTGGCAAGGATGTATTTATATTTGCTGGGACTGGCTGTGAGTTGTTTTTTCTATACAAAAACCTCATCTTTCAGCTTTTTTTGCAGTGTTGGCACTTTGCGATACATAAGTGGCTTTTGGGTTGCAGTTTGGGCACTCGGTCTCTAAAAGGTTCACCATCATTGGGTTAGGGTTAATAAAACAAGGTGTCCTGGTATGATTTGGATGGTTGGAATGTGTTTAGAATGGGCAGAAATGATGAGCTGTGCTGAAAAAGCTACTCAAGGAAGACTTTTTCAAAATCGCATTATTTTCAATGGAACTTTACCCCTATATTAGGGTTAGGGTTGTGCACCAGGGCAGGGTTAGGGTTAGAAAAACGAGGTGTCCTGGCATGATTTTGATGGTTGGAATGTGTTTGGAATGTGCAGAAATGATAAGCTGTGCAGAAAAAGCTACTGAAGGAAAGCTTTTTCAAAATCTCCCCTTTCAATGGTATTTTAGCCCTATATTAGTGTTAGGAGAGTGCACCAGGGTAGGGTACGGCCAGTGTTGGCGAACCAATGGCATGCCTGCCCCAGCAGGCACACAGAGGCCTCTCTGTCAGCATGTGAGCCATGTCACCCCAGCATCACCCCAGCAGCCGAGCATCGGATAACCTCGCACATTGGGACCATGCACATGCTCGGAAAGGAGTAACACGTGGGTTTTGGCTTGCAGTTTGGGCACTTGGTCTCTGAAAGGTTCGCCATCACTGGACTACTCTATCCACTAACCCACTAAGTAACATGCCTGGTACAGGTACTGTTAGCATGTTCTATGTCTATCTCAATGTCATCAGTAGGAATGATTTATTTCCTGCTTGAAGCAAAGAATTGCTGAATACAAGCCTTTTATTTAAAAAACAACAACAGTGCAATGATGAATCATTATCACATCCCTCACACCAGTGAAATGCCTGTCAGCTCCTTTCCTTCTAGTTCTGTACTTGTTGCTTGAACAGCAGTAGCATTGTAAATGCTCTGTTCCCCTCACATGTTTTGGCTCATCCTTCAGCGTTTGGGGAGTGTTCTCAAGAATCGCAATCCCAGGTTCTGTGTGCCATCTTAGGATAAAACTGATGACTATTGTGCAGTGTGCATATTGTTAAAGAAACAGTATAGTCTAATGAAAGGGGGTATTTTTTTCCTGAGAGTGGGTGAAAAAGAAAGAGAGGAACGCTGTGTGGATTTTTTCTCCCTAAGGAACTACTTGATGTTCCTTTACTGTGCTGCATATAATTGGATTGTAGCTCTTTCTGAATACTTTTTTCTTTCCTCCTGGCAGCATGGGGTAACCTTGGAAATGTTCTGAAGAGCCAGAGCAAGATTTCTGAAGCTGAGAATGCTTATAGAAATGCCTTGTACTACCGCAGCAACATGGCTGATATGCTTTATAATTTGTAAGTATGCATAGCTTCCTTTCACTGGTTCATCTCAGAAGCCTTTTGTGAAGGAAACCTTTTTATTCTGGACTTCTAGAAATGGTGATGATTTTCAGCTGCTTTGTTTTCTGCCCTTTTATTCACTCCACCACCCCTTTCATTAACCTTACTGTGAACTCTCTAGAAGGCCCATGACTCAGTACACCATATGTCGAAGCTCCAAAGTTCTGGAAAATCTGCTGGAAACCTGAGAGAGCAATTACCAGTCAGCATTGACATTAAAAAGATAGGCAGACCATTGGTGTGACTCAGTATAATTCAACTTCCTGTGTTTCTATAGATAAGGCTTTCTTCTATTCTTTGTATGTATGAGATCATCATGTATTTGACTATATTCTGCAGCAACTAGGAAAAGTTGGCTTAACTCTCCCACAAAGACCCATCTCACTAGAACTTCTCAGAAAGTGCAAATTTTACTTTTATCAATTTCAGTTGCCGAATTAATAGCAGTCCTTTTTACCTTTGGAAGACAGCCCCAAAGAAGCACCTATGGCAGAACTTTGGTAGTCTGTGTTCTATCAGGGATGGAAGGCATAGACAATGCGACTTTATTTTGGCTCACCTTCGCTGCCTGAGCACTCGATTTGGTTGCTACAATTTAGCTTCAAAGCTCTAAATGGGCCCAAGACCACATTCTCTTGAGAAACATATTATACCTTTCTATTAAATTTCAGTGAGATCTGCTGGCAACCACACTCTGTTCTGGGCACTATCTGTTTATTAAGTGGAATTACAAAGGATTCAGAGCTTTCCTCTTTGTAGCACCCACATGATAGAATTCATACTTGAGGGGAATCTGTCCACCTTTTTAATCAGCTTTCATTAGCCACTGAAGACTTGTTGCATGGCTTCCTTTAAACACCTTTAGGTAGAAACACTTACATAAATAAAATGTTGAGTGACGTGCTATCTAATATTGTTATATGATAATACCAATTTATAATTACCTCATCCTTAATCTGCCTGGATGTGGCAGACCTCCATACTGTAGCCTGTCTCACCTGTCCTCAAAATGATCAGGTCTTCAATGGAATCACTGTCTTAATTTACCCCATGTGTGTCTTTCTCCCCCACTCTGTGATGGTTAATATGAATTAACACAAAGACTAGTACGCTGTTCTATAATATAGCTCTTTCCATGCAACCATTACTATTAACAAAAACTCATGTGGCATTAAGGGATAATTGACAAATTAATCTTCACAGCAACACCTGGGTCTTTCCAAGGAACCCCATTTTCTAGTACATTGTAGAGATCAAACTGTGGCTCATACTGCATGTGTAATGAAGGGTGAGTTTCCCAGCAAAGAAACGTTGAACAAAGACAAAGCATTAAAAAGCAAATTCATTGAAGCAGTTAGGCATAATGTAATACCTGACACTTGCCATAATGCAAAGCCACACGAAACAAGTGTAACATGTAAGCAGAAGCTTGACTTCTTCAGTATAAAACCACAGCATCATTTTGAGTATTGCTGCAGTCCTCGTGTCTTGCTAATAGAACTGAAGTGACTGCATGTGGCAGGCACAATGATTTTTTTTCTTCCATGGATGCAACATCTGCCAGCTGACAGCTTGTATGCCTACACTGAGAACACATAAGTACAGTGTGTGAACACAAGTTCTAAGATACTTATTCTGTGGTTAATGAAGGCAAAGAGTCAAAAGAGGCTGTATTGGTAGTGAACTAACAATGGCTACCAACAATGGTTGATAGAGGGCAAGTAACTTGGGCAGTAATTTAGTTAAAATGTCTTATTATACACTGGTCCATAGCTTTGTGGAAGGATATTGAGCCTTTATGATGCACATACCAGTATACAGTATGTGATACCTCACAATCTGCCTTGATGGCTTGTTTAAGTCACCTTGGCTCATTTTGATCATGTGGATTGAGTCAGAGATTTTTGAAAGGGGTGTTATTACCTGACTTCTTTTCTATTAGTACACACACTGGTTGATAATTAGAGGAAACCTAAATCAGCATTTTATCAATACCAGACTTGCACTGCTTCAGAATTCTTGGCCAAAGCAAATATCGGTGACTTACAACTTGATCTTTTATTTAGCTTACTTTTCTCTGGACACTCTAATATATGACAGCTTTTTTGCTCTGTATTCAGATGTGAATAGCTAACAAACATCAGAAGAACTTATGTATCTTTTCTGCAATAGCAGCGTTCAGACAATATGATAGCTTTATTTAAGGGTTGGGTGTGGATCATCCTTAACTGGTAGGCTCCTGTTGAAACACACATTACTCTCTTGGCTAAATCCAGCTGCACTAACAGTCTGTAAACTATGAACAACTCATGAAGAGAACATGGTTTGTTCTAAGGTTGTAAACTGTGGATAGTTTGTGCTTAAAAAACATGTTTGCTTAATATGGCTGGGTTCAGACAACACAGTACCTTACATTACAACAACAACCCGGAGTTCAGTGACAGCACACACTCAACCCTTAAGTTTGAGTAATCATGCTTTCTGAACCCAGTTATTATCTCTGTAATCCTGTGTGTTTCTCTTAACATTAATGGTAGTATAATTGCAAATTGTTGCTTTTCATATATATTTTAAATATCTTTGTATCTTTAACTGCATAGATGCTCCTTAATATGCCTTTTAGTGGTTTTCCTTGTGTATAGTACTTTTTTTTAAAGGATATATTTTTAATTCTCTTCAACATTTTTTTCATTCTTGTCCAGGAACAACTAGCTGCTTTCAGAGCTATAGCAAAGACTTGTGCCTAAAAAGGAATAATAAAATTGCCCTGAGTAATAATTTGCTGGCAAGCTCTTAGAAAAACAAAAGCACCAAGTTAATTTTGCTAATATGAATAGCTTTTTCTTATTTATGTTTATTAGGAGCTTTGGGCAGTATCCAATGTTGTCACAGCACTGCCGTTAATGATCTCTTACTAGCTTAAATGAATGGCAGTTCGGCATCATTAGAACTTGCTATACAAAGGAGAAAGGCATTGATTTGACACCTGGTTTGGCCCATGAAGTTAGCTGCCAAATTTTGGTGGCAGATCACTGCTTCTTTCCTTTTCAGAGCAAACACAAATGATGTTGTGCTAGCATTCATTTGCACTAGCACACTGTTAGTGCTAGTGCTATGACAGCATTGGAAGCCACTCTGTATAACCCTAAATCTTTAAAGAAGAATATGAACATATTTGAAGAAAGTTGTACTTTATGTGACTTGTCTGTAGTCTTAGAAAGCTATGTGGATGCAGAGGAGAGAATCACCAGTGCAGCTAGAGATATTCTTAAATTTTCTAGTTTAGCAACATTTATAGATAAACAGGCAAGGCAATTTTGAAATGAAAAGTAACTAGAGTGCTTACCCATGTGAGTAGTTGCAGGAAAATTTCTAGCATACTTCTAGCTATATGCATAGTGTTCTCCTCTGTATTCATGGAATTGTGTGGAAGGTGACACCCTTACGGTTAGCTTAGATGTGATAGACTTTCCAATCAGGTGACTGCTGTCCCTGGATTTTCTAAACTAGTTATAAGCACTATAATACCTCCAAATGAAACTCCTAATTTGAAATGAAGAAAGGTTGATGAAGCTTTTTCTGATCTCTCTCTGTGAACAAAATGAAAGTATGGTGCTTCTTGGATTGTTTCCATGAGCATTTTCAATATTGATTAACAAAGCAGGTGTGCCCTGTTCTTGGATTATTTGGTGGCATCCACACTTAGAAACTTTGGATTGTTTATGGCTTAAACAATTCAGATTCAACCCAACAAAAAACATAGGCAATTGTTAGGCTAACTCAGAATCATTTAATCTTAAGCAACCTAGAATTTCAGTATTTGGACATCACAAAACAACCTGAATTATTAACTGTAATTGGAAATGCCTTGCATGCATTTCTAGTCATCCCCAGCAGTTCCAGAAATTGGTGTTGTGGCATGTGAACTGAGTTGGGACATTCCAGTGCAGAAGCCCTAAATTTGTAAGCAGTCCTGAGGCTTCGCAAAGGATGGGGTAGAAATGTTTTAATTAAATCAAATTAAAACCTTTAAACCTGGAATATTATAGGCATCCAATACAGGATGGTAGGAATGCAGATGCCAAGGTTGTCTCTGCGACTCTCTCATTCTGCAACATGGCCATCTTACTGCAGTACTTCAGAATGGGAGGAAAGGAGGCTGAATGATGCCAGGGCATACTGGTCTTCTTTGCTTTTCAGGCCCAGAATGACCCCTACACCAATTTTACAATGTTTCTCCTATAACCTTAGAGATGCAATTGGCACAGTTCCCTCCTCACCAGCTGCAAGGGGAAGGGAAGAGTTCTACAAGTGCAGATCCCAAGCTGTTGGGCAGAAGTCTGCACATACATGTGTATGTGAATTCATGTGTGTGCACACATGTGCATATAGACAGAAATGCATGTACACACCTGTGCATATTCAGCAGAGGTCTACTCAATGTTGGGATACTCCAAAAAGGAACGAAGTAGCAAAGGTTACTTTGCAAAGCAAAGTAGCAAAAGCAGAAGTATGTTTACTTTTGTAAGATTTTTTTTTTGCCTAATCTAGGATCTCTAGGCCATGTGCATCACTGTTTCAATAAAGTTTATAAAACAGTATTAAACAAGACTTTAATTATTTACCAGAATTCAATATTCACTCTTGCATCTGCTCTTCATTTTGCATCTATATGAATTTTAAATAGCTAGTGAAACAGCTGTAAAACAGTCTGTATTCTGAAACAGAAGGGAAAAATAAATCTGACTTGCCTCAATGGATGCCAGTATTAAAGCTGCTAATAAAAGCAGAAAATTAGTTCTGAAGTCCTCTAATGAAGAGAGCAGAATATTTAAAAAATCCAAGTGGCATAAACATACAACGAATGCAATGCATTATACTGAGTTCTATAAAAGTAATACTTAATTGCTTCAATATGGGTGAGTAATTAATCTAAGGTTCATAACAACAGAGCCTTTCCAAAACTAAAGGATTATAAAGGGAATATATCAAAGAAGAGCTGTATAAATATAACATGGAGAAACTGGAAAATTTATTCAGTGCCTGTGCCTTTTTGGCTCCCAGAGTTGTGACATGTTGCTATGGCTGGAACATTCTCCCAGGCCTCCATTATTTTACATAAGTCCATTGTTGCTTTTTGTCAACCTGCATGGTTGATATTGATGAAAAGATTGAATATAATGAGTGCACTTCAGTTGTAAGAGTACCCCATCATTTGCTGTTGCTTTCGTGATCTCTGACGTTCCCACCTTCTCTTTCCAGCACAAGATATTTAAAGCTTCTGTTCTTGGTTAGGAGCAAGCTCTGGGGATGGTTTTGCATCAGAACTCAGCAAATGATGGTATTTTGAACCACTGTATGGTTCAAAACTAGAAGCTACAATAGCAAGCCATGGTCGTCTTACGGGTTTTCAGTTTGCTCCTCCAGTTGTAGTCTTTGCATTGCACTGTGCCCCATGGCTCATTAGTATCTTGTTTCTACTGCATGGAAGTATAACTGGACAGGTTATTATTTCAATGTTAGCTGACCACTTTCCCTTTCACCTAGAACTCTTTAAACCTTTTAGCTTTGGCTAATATAAAATAATGGCATTGATGGCTTGAAACTAGCATGTAGTGGTATCTTAAGAGGCCCAGACAAGTTGTGCTATCACTCTGGACTGCACTGAACATTTAGGCATTATCACCAGCAAAAAACGAAAAAACACTGCAACACTAAGCAGGCCCAGCCCTATCATGAGCTGCACAACACCAACTGTTTCAGCTGACAGGGGGCACCAGAATAGGCATCCTTTGCCAACAGTTGCCTTCTCAAAATCCTGCTGCACCCCCACCACCACTAGAACAGGTGTCAACAGGTCAGCTTCCTACCACCTCCAGGATGGTTAGACCACAGTCAGGCTGTAAGCCCACCAGCCCTGGAATTCTGTTCTCAGACCGCTTGAGATCTTGCTGCCACAGACAGCAGGCCAGTCAAGCTGTGGAAAGCTGCTGATTGGTCCTTTGTTGTTTGGAATGAAGTGCAGTAACCAGTGAGTAGACTGCTGCCTTCCAGGCACTTCTGGGTGCCATCATTCAGGTAGACCAGCAGGTGAAGCACCTGACTAGAAACAGGCACGTATACACTTGAGTCTAGACAACAGGGAGAACAGACTTGAACAGGCCTTTCCCAAGTTTTGACTGGCTTACTTGGTGACATCTCACAAGAATTTGCTAAGCTTTGCAAGGCTTGCAAAGGCTTCTCTATGGCACCAGCAACTTGGCAAGACCAAACAGGTAGCAGCTGCAGCAGCATGGGGCACAGCAGGGGTTCCTGAACCTTTCCCCAGTGGCATAATGCTTCAGGCCAGCCTTGGTAGTAAGACTTTTTCAGGGTTTCCAGGGCAAAGCTTAACATGCAAACACTTCCTTCTACTTCTTTGTAGTGCATGTGTGTATTATATGTGTCTAATACATTGTGCAGAACACACAGAACTATACATTGACTACTGGTCTCTGTTCATCCAGCCTTTTGCTTACCTATCTGATCAGTATTAGGTAACTACAATAACCTAATTCTGTTCCTTACTCTCTTCATGAAACCAAGTCTTATATTTTATTAGGTACTTAGTCAGTCCTTTTCTAATGCCATCTTCAAATGTAATCACTACCCTTTTATATCCTATGTAATTGGAGCATTTTGCCCTGCTTATTCCAGTTCCTATCTGTATTCAGTCTAAGTTTTCAAGTTTAATCTTGCCTCTGTTTTCAACAGAGGCTTAGCACAACATCATTCCACTGGCTTACAGCTAGAGGAAAACAAATTTTGGAATCTATTATTATTTTGTGCTTCTATCATTAATTCTTTGGATGCTGGCTGGAATGCAAATCTCCTGGGCAGGGACTGGAGGGAAAGCACACGGCAGAGCAATAGGTATATTTTGGGAGTCACTAAATCCCCTAATCCTGACTCAGTCCATCACTAGCAGAATATGGAATTACACTGCCACCTTGTTCCAAATAAATTTAAATGAGGACTTTTTCCTAAAGAAGCATGTAGCATGCCGGTTATTGATTACCAGTTGATACTTGTAGTTATTCTTTGGAGAGAGAGATGATAGAGTTATGTAACACTGGGCCACATTCATAATAAATTCCAGTTGACCCTCAAACCAAATGATCTAAAACATGAAAATGATTAGCAAAATAAAGTCTATAATATTGTTTGCTTAACTATATAATTGTAATACTACTACATACGAAGTGGTGTTTATCCTCATTTTGGGATTTGCTTCAGCAGCTGAATGAAAGAGTTCAATTTATGTTATGCATTTGTCCTATAAAGCTTATTTATTAACTTGTTATTTGGGGGTAATTAAATATTCAAATATTTAGGTATAGGGTAGCATCAAGAAAGTAATATATTGAAAGATAAGCAGGCCTACAGTTAATAACTTCTCAACTTTCTCTCTCTTTCTGTGTGTGTGCATCCATGCATGTGAACATCAGTATTACTTTACAAATTATATAATTTACCCCAAACAGATTTGAAACTAACAAGTCTGGAGTCAGTCTAGCCAATCATGACAGTAGGAGATATTAGTGCAGTGCAGATCTTACTGTATTGTAAAGTTGCTCATATGTTTGCAAAAACTCAAGCATTTTGATGTTGCTGTAACAAACATTTGCAACATCTCTAAAAAGCATGAGAATGACACCAATTTATGCAGCTGACTTTTTGTTCATTTGTAGTGTTGCAATTTCAACTCTTCGTTGGTGGGTACAGATTCCACACTAGGGTTGAACCAAAATAGGATTGAACGAAAAACTGGTGTGGTTCAAATATTGTAGCAAAAGTTGACATTCTGTGTGAAGCTTTGAAGGTCCACACAACACTTTTCACGCTTAAACATTTTCTTCTAGTTTGGGATCTCCCTGCACCCCTTCAGCTAAGCATTCAGCAGATATCTGTGTGATGCGTCTGCTGCAGCCCACTGTGAATTCTGCTCTTGTAGGGAAGATAGGAGAAGAGCTTCTGCATTTACCTTTTTAAAAATTGCTGTACTTGTCACTTTAAACAAGACATACAGCAGGATTTGCTGAGCCTTATATGAATCTCCCCCACAACTTGGCAAGGGAAAAGTGTAGATCTTGCTTTTTATATCGCTGTGGACTGCCCCTGAGAAACGGTTGCTGCAGCTGTTTTTTAAGAGAGACGCCTGCATCATAGAATGATACATCTGTACATTTTCATGCCAAGAGAATGCAGTGAAGGTGAGGAGAAGGCTTTTAACTCTGTTAGGGACTCACCTTGAAAGAAGACAAACAGTGTATATGAGTGCAGGGAGGTTGACATTCTTTTCTGTGTTTTGTGTTTCTTGTTACGATTTAGTGTAAACATTTAGGTTTGATATGATTTTTTTCAAAGAATTCCATTTTCAGAAGTCACACATTTTTTCAACATAAGAACGCAAGAAAAGCCATGTTGCCTCAGACCAGCCATCCAGTCCAGCCCTCCATTGATATGGCGACAAAACGCACTGCCAGGACGCATAAATGCTGTGGCCTGTTTTTGAAAATATCAGACTGAATGTGAGACCTTGTCCAGCATAACAGTGGCTAACAATTATGTAACTAAGTCTGTGCGATGATTGAAGAAATTGACTGTAAAAATGCAGATTTTGGGAATGAGAAAGATATACATTTCTAAAATCGTGGTTTAATTTAGCATTAAGTTTCTTTAATTAAGAGAGTTAGAATGAAGAAATGACTCTAAAGAACATGTACATCTTTTTTCTGCATACAGAAGGACTTAGCCCAGTTCTTTAGGAACCTGCTTTTACATTTCTACTTTAAATAATGTAATGGAAAATCTGCAGGATGACATCTCTTTTTTGTAAAGATGAGCATTAATAGTTAATTGCCAGTAAATTTGGTTCTTTTAGCTTTTTTTCATAATTAAATTCTTACTCTGTATATGGTTGTCTATTTTTCTCTATTTTTCTTCTAAATGAAGAGGATTGCTGCTGCAGGAGAACAGCAGGTTTTCGGAAGCACTTCATTACTATAAATTGGCTATTGGAAGCAGACCTACTTTAGCATGTAAGTAAACTATGCGTTCATTTGTTTTTAAAATACGCTTTTTTATGCTGTGTTATAAACACCACTTCTGGAAGAATTAGCTGTAAAGTACATTGATTCTGCAATGAAATAATTATTTTGCATGTGAGAAGGAAGCCATGTGTACAACACTTAAGCATTTTCCATTATACCTACTTATCTGCAGACCACCCCTACAATTAGGCTTGGTCTAACAGCTGCCCGAGGCTGCTGACCTTGGGCAGCAGCAACCTTATTGAAATTAATAGAGTTATATTTTCACTGTTGGGCAGTGTGAGAGATGCTTGTGGGATTTGCTGCAATAGGTGCCAAAATAACTTCTTTCCTGGCCTTAGGTTCTATGCAGCTTGGCTTGTTGGGTGTAGAGAAAGTGTCCATTATCGTTTCAGTCAGCAGCATGTCTTGGCTCAGCACTGTGCCTTACCCTTTTTCTGGACCCACAAAGACCTTTCACTACCAGATTTCCTCTATTGACTAGGAGGAAAGTTACTCTTTTATTTGATTTATATGACAAGCATATTCTTTGTTTTCTGGATTCTCATTCTTGCAGGATTGGAACTCAAACGTTTCTCTTGCTACAGAGTAGAATGCGATATTTGATCGACATATTATCTTTGTTACAAGAGTGGGTTGTGACAAAATGCTTCTAAGGAGTTATATAGTCTCTTGGTCATCAACTTTATCTGGAAAACCCCTCAATTTGTTAGTGCCATGCACTACTGAGGTCTCTTCCATAGCTGTTTGGAGAAGGGCATCCATTATGTGAAATATGTTCCCTGATACTAGACATGCTCTGACAATTTCTGTTTTTAGGCACATATTGAGAAGAATGCATATGCATGCCTTCTCAGTCTAGTTAATCCTTCCATATATTTTACTCATGAATGATGTAGTTACTGTACATTGATTTTGCTTGGTTTTATATTGAAACTTTTATTATTAATGAACACCGGTTTGAAATGTTTAGATATAATACTTGTATAAATACTTAAAAACAAAACAAGCAAATGGATAAAAAGGAGGTCAGAACGCCCAATGTTCCAGATCCATTCCATTTTGTTAATTATTTGAGAAGTTGCTGTTCTTAATTCCAGCCAAGTTTATGGCCTTGTTGTATATTTGCCTGGTTTCCACTGATAGCTGTTAAGATTATTTGGACAGTGATGCTGAATGCTATGCAAATAACTTGTTGTACTGTTTTGTAGTGCAAAATTGTTGTGATAAAAATGGTTTATCAATAAGGATTTTAACCAGATTCAGTATTTCAAATGATTGAAGAAATCTAGAAATGCCAGTCAATGTCAACATAGTAAGCTAAATGACCAGGGACCTGACTCAGTACACGGCAACTTCCTATGTACTGGCTATTGTAGCTACAACATTGGTAGCTTTAGACAAGCTTAAGTTCGGTGAGATTATATGTGGGTGTATAATATTTTCCTCTCTCTTTCTCAGCTGCTTATTTAAATACTGGTATTATCTTAATGAACCAAGGGAAAGCTGAAGAAGCCAAGAAGACATTCTTGAAGTGTTCAGAAATTCCTGATGAAAACTTAAAAGATCCTCATGCACACAAGAGTTCTGTTACCAGCTGTCTGTATAATTTGGGAAAACTCTACCATGAACAGGGACAGTATGTGGTAAGTAATTCCATTCTGTGATTCAATAGCACACTTCCAAGGACATTTTTACAACAGTTGCTTAAATCTACCATTTAGGTTAAATTGTGGTTTAAAGAGTGTTTCCAAGCATTGTGGAAATCTTCCCAAAGCATTTGTGAGATGTGTTTTGTCTACTATAGAAATGAAGGAAGAGGTCGTACAACTCAGCTGCAATCATGTGTTTCTAACACTGACTGAATCTTGTCCTTCCTTAGTTTAGCACTCAATGAATGGGTTCATATGATCACTGTAGCCCACCATGGCTTTCTGGTAGAATAAGAAATAAGTCTTCCTGTCGGTCAGAGGTAAATACAGTTTAGGCATGGGAATATGAGTACTTCTTGTTGAGTTCATTGAAATGTAATATGTTTCAAAAAGAAAAAGAAAGCTGCCAGTTTTCACTGTGTTCAGGCTATCTTACTATCTTACCAACAGGATTTTCTTTGGGAATTAAAAAAGAACAGGAGGAGTATAGTAATATGCAGGTCAGGCTAGTCTTCTAAGCAGACATATAGGTGCTTTCTTAATCAAAGAGCAAATATTCCGTATGGTTAATGTGGCGGCAGGGGAGCTAGACTAATATTTGACAACTAAAGATGGCTGTTGATTTGTTCATTGTGTTGGATCCTGATTTAGACACACGGAACTAAGTTGGCAGAAGCAGTTGTCCCCAACCCCTGTGCTCATGGAACTTGATATTTCATCCCCCTCCCCTTTGCCATAGTCTTCCTCATTTAGCAGGGTGTTCCCTGACACTTTCAGCTAGCTGCAGGGGCTTCCAGGAGGTGGAGGGGACTTTCCACAGTCAAGTTACACATGCCTAAATCTGACATAGCTCATTTGTGTTTGTTGTTTCTCTGCTGTTTGTATTATCAGTATGAATAACTGTGTCTCTGTATCGCATGACTCTATTGCATGAAACATATCTATTTTTCTTATTTATTCATTCTTTCCTCTTTGAAATCTTTATTTTCAGGATAAATTGCTTCTTACCAGTTGTATTCGCCCATCAGTTGATAAAAAACTATAATTTTTATCTCCTTGCTGATGGATGGCTCTTTGATCCAAGATGCTGGTGCCCATGCCCCACCCAATCTGCTCCAAAGGACTGAAACACCCACTGAAACAGCTTCAAAGCATCTGTTACAGCCAAAGCATCTACTGGATCAAAGAGCCAAAAATCAGTGAAGGGCCACCATTTGGATAGAACCAAGAGCTCAGTTTTCCATGATCAGAGCAGAACCGACAAAACCCACTCTGTCCATTCACAAATAAAATGGCCTTGGGAAACATCTTACTAAAACAAAGGTGCATCTGTGTGATGGGACCAAATCCTTTCCTTTCCCTTGCTTTATCATACACTGTAGCTGAAGACACTTTTTCCCAGCTTGTTTCAGGGAGCAGAAGAATTAGAAGCTAGGGACAAAAGCATCTAAACGAAGAGAATTTGTGACCCCACAGGTGTTTTTGGACTTCCATTAGCATCACCCAACATGGGCAGTGGTCAGGGGAACTGTAGTCCAACACAGCTAGTTTGAACCTGGAGTTGAAAACATAGCATGTATTGTGTAGAACTTGTTGTATCTTTTGTGTGTGCTATGCCACATTTCCAAACACTGCTGGGCAATAAGTAGGTTTCTTTTGAGGTTAATACTCGTAAATGGGTGTGTGCCTGAAACAAGTTTACTGTGCTTCTTGGGAATTTATTTGTGAGAAACTGGCTTTGTACTAAGAGAGGCCCTTTTAAAGATCTGCAGAGGATTCAGAAGAGTATCATTTTCAATAATTTTTAAGGGTTTTGAAATAAAAAATCATTTTATGCATGGGTCAAGCAAGCCTAGCTGAGTAAAATGTAATGCAGATACCCTTGTATTTTATGCAGTCTCCTTCTCTTTCTTCTCCCCCTTCGTATGGAATACTACTTTCTGTAATTGTGATTTCTGTTTATAGTAGACTTGAGAGCTATTATTGTGACTACTGTAGTCTCATGGCAATATTAAAACACTCCTCTGTAGTTAAATACTAATTTGTATATTGTGTCACTTTCTGGAATTTCAAAAGTAGGCTAATGAGCCTTTAGGTGTTCTCGAATAACCCATTCTCCCATCCTTAAGTGAGATGGCCAGTGATTGAAATTATTCTCTATTACATTAAGGAAATTAATCTCAATTGTTTACTTCTTTTTGTAAGTGGGAAATGTGACCTCTCTTCATGGTTAATAAAGAGGACTACATTTGCATGTAAAATTGCTTTTGAATTCAGTACTCTGGTAATTTCAACTTCTTTTCACAGGATGCCCTCACAGTTTACAAAGAAGCAATACTGAAAATGCCAAGGCAGTTTGCACCACAGAGCTTGTATAATATGATGGGTGAGTATAAGAATAGTAGTTTTTCAGATGTGCAGACTCTTCCGAAGGATTGTTATTACTTACTGGAATACTTTACTTTGGAGAATACCTAACACTTTGGACTAATTAATTACACCACAATTTGGAAGGTGTGGAGGGTGTAAGCTATTTGCATTTAGAATAAACAGTATACAAACAACCATTTGCAGATTGTTTTTTGTTTGATCCGAACCCAGAAATAAACCACGGGTGTTTGAAGGGTATTTATTCAAAAGGAAAATGGTTTGTTCACTCTGTGCATTCCCAGCAGATTGTGAACTAATTAACACTTTTTCTGTTGTCATACTATGTGAATTGCTTTAAAGTCTTTATCTGCATCACACCTTCAAAACATTCAGGGTTTCACTGCAACTTAATACCCATGAAGACCTAACAGAGACATACATGCATACAAGTGTTTCCAATCATGAGTCCTATTTGTGCATTATGTCGGTTTAGATCATATTATTTATATGTCTTTTTGATGCATAGGCTTCCAACACATGGATAATTAAAATCAGTCAAACAAATCAATTGCAATGACAAAAAGGTAGAAAGAAGGCTACACATATGTCAAGCTATAAATAGTTGTCTAGATAAGATGGTCTGAAGAACACATACAAAAGTGAATAAAGAAGGGGCCTGCTAGATCACTGTAGAAAACAAATGTTACAGTTGTAGCCCAGCCACTGAAAAGACTCTACATCTGCTACCCACTAATTTATAGCCTTCAGCCTCTGAAATTGTCTGAAGCACCTGACAGATTCATATGGGCTTAATGGTAACCTTATCCTAGACCATGGGAAGTGCAATCCTGTGGCTGCTAAGCAGAATCTAGATAGCCATGGAATTTCAACTAAGACTTCAGAAACTCCCTCCAAGGATGGAGCTGGGACTCACAGCAAAGAGTGGCTTTCCCCTCCTTCACAACTGGCACAGAAAGATCCATGTTGAGTCCTTTGTGGTCAGAGAAGAGGCTGAGTTGCAGTTCCTGGGCAGGAGAAGATGAGATCAGCAGCATGAAACTTCGATAGCCAAAATCGGCTAAGTATTTTGTGGGATTAGAGGGCCTTTGCAGTCCTCCTACCTTGTATAAGATCTCTGCAATCTTCCAATTTCATAGGGTTGTGGGCAGCCGCACTGGATTTGTGCTGCAAATGTTTTAAAGGTTAAGTTTTAATTTGATTTTATAGCAATTTCCATGGCTACCTATTCATTTCAGTCATATTCTCTGGTCGAGTAGTCCAGTATTTGTGCCACCATATGGCTTTGCTTATGCCTTGAAACCTAGATATTCAAGTTTCAGGTATGGTCTCTCACCATGCTCCTGGACTTATCCCCATTCCCATGAATGCATTCAAGTGAAAAGCACTTACACTGTTTGAAAAGTACTTACATTGAGCAAATAGGACATTCCTTTTATTGTGTTCTGATAAAGATCTCTTTCAGCTTTGTATTTGTTGGGAATGTTTAATCATAAAACAAGTTGAATTTGTATGTAAGTCAGATCACATATAGTCAGCTCTTCCACATTTGTGGGGGGTTAGGCATGTAGGACCCCTTCCAAGTGGAAAAAATGTTAATATCTCTTGTCCTCTCTCCTGACCAAAGTCACCAGTGCCTCCTCTTTGCAGCAAGGAAATGCCAGAGAGAGTTCCCTCCTTGGATGGACGGGGCAGGAAGTCTTTGGAGGCCCCTCCTCTACCCTTTCACATCCTCTTGCTCTGTGGTGATGACAATTTTTAGCAGTAATTTTTTAAATTCAATAGGCTTTCTGGCAGTTCATAAGTATCAATTGTTCAAAACTCAGACATTTGTAACTCGGGGACTGCCTGTTACTTCTTTCCTTCTGGGGAAAGATGAGGCTCACTGTGCAAGTGTGTTTAGGCAGCTGTTTATCATTGTGCATTGACTGAATTCCCTGAATCAATCATTTGTAAACAAGCTCCAAAGGAGAAGAACAAATTACTTGTGCTCCCACTAACCACAGTAATAGAGAAGGTATGAAGCTTATCTTGCACATCTTTTCTTCTCCTTACCCCAAAGTGAGATACTTCAAGGGTGGTCATAGGAGTTTTAAACTTTCTAAACAACTGAGAAATACTTGTTAGGGTTGTATTGTGTTTGAAATAGTGTTTATTTTCTAAAAGCAGAAGTTCAAACACTGCCTTTATTTAACTTCTTCAAAATAATCAGTATTGCAAAATTCTTCAGTGAAGTATAACTCATATTTTTAAGGCTTACTGCTAGGTCATTTGACATGTTCCTCATCCTATTTTGTAACAGACATATTTGTAGACTTGCTTACCTAGGAATAAGTCTCACTGATTTCAGTCAGACTTATATCTGAGCAGAAACACCTAGGGCTTCATGTCTCGATATAAAAATTGTTATCTTAGCAAATCGACTCTAAGACAGAAGCGAGCAAATTCTCCTTTTTTTAGTTATATAGCATTTTTGTTTCAGTTTACTTTAGATTTTAGCATTTCTAACTTTTTTGCCACTTACTCACTGGTTGTGGGGAGCAAACTGCATTTCTGTGCAAAACACCAAAGAAACTACGTAAAGAAGTATCACTGAATTGGCTAAATAAAGGTTTGTGTTACAAATGATTAAACAAGGATTAGCATTAGCACTGCAACTGTGAAAATCTTTTATACCACCTGTTTTCCATGGTTTGCAAGGCCTGTGCCCATTAACTTTTACCTCAAAGGTCTGGCCAGGTGGGTTTGTACTTTAAAATCTAGCTACTGATTTATTTTTTAAATAGAGTAACTTTTTGGCTTGCAAGTTTAAAATGTAACTCTTTAATTATGTCTTGTACTTATAACAATCAAGGTAATTCTTATGTTGTATATTCTAAAAGTGCATTGTATAGAAAACTGTGCAGTAAATTTTTATCTGTAGCATTGGTGTGATTTATTTGACCAGGTGTACCTCAGCCAAACTAAAGAAACCATATGTTTGGCCTTTTACCAAGGGAAAACATTTTATCAATTTTTTTTTCCTTCGGAAAAGAGAATTACTATAAAATGTTACTTTTAAAAATGTTATCAGGCTAATTTTTAAATGATTCCATGTAGCCTTGGTTTGGTGTAAGTTTCTTTTTGGCACTCACCTCCAAGAAGGAAGTATGAGGGGTAACCCAGATTAATTTGCTTGGCATTGGGACATGCCATACAAAGGCTGGAGTCCAATTCAGCTACATTAAATGGGTAATCTATTTTGTTTTAAAGCTTCAGTTAAATTTTGGGGTCAAAAGAAATAGTGGTCCCTATGGGACCCTGAGTAGTTTAATGCTAAAATTAGACTTGCTTTGGGATCAGTCTTGGTATACATGTCTTTCCTATCCAGGAAATATGATATTATACAGTCGATTGTGTTGCATTGCTCTTAAAACCACACAAGCCCACCTGCTAGAATAATTCATATGCTAGCCAGCTTAGTGGATAAATGGAGCACAGGGGCTTTATTTTACTATTGAAATGTAATAGGAAAGGCTGATTTACTCAAATTTCAGATCATTAGCTACAAAAGTTCCTTTTTTATTTAACTACATTCCTTCAAGAACAGCAAATATTTGCTGGTCAGGTATAATTTTAATAGATCTCTTGGGTGGTATTTTGACAGTTTCTTTGTAATTTGTGCCTAAATTAATTGGTCAGAATCTAGTGAGCCTCTTCAAATGCCCAGAAGGACTTGCTTTTAAGTAATATGGAAGAAATACCAAACTGTTTTGCTGCTGTGGGTACAGGTGTGACTGCATTCAGAAAATCCAGAGAAATTGATCACAATTGATACATATTCAGTTCTGTTAGCCTCCTAACTTTTGCTAAATGCCATGTCTAAAGACCATAACAGTAATGTGATTGTATTATTATTATTATTACTATTATGCTACAAAATTCACAATTGGAGTTGTTGGTTGTTTGTTTTTTAGAACTGTTATCTTGGTTGGTCTTTCACAAGTTTGCTCTTATGACTGTTCAAAATGTGTAGTCTTGTCTAGTTAATATCTTTGTCAGGTTCGGCTGCTAAAGGGAGCTAGCAAGCAAAGTAGGTATCATAGAAGGACATTGGTAAGACAAGACTGCGTATAGACAATTTTGTGATGGTAAGATGGTCATTTCTGCCACTGCTAAGATTTTTTTAAAAGAAAAACTGATGTGAATATTTGACCATTTCTTGGATTGGGAAGTTAATAAGATAGATATGTATGAAAATTAAAAGACTAGGAATGAAACCAAGAGGAATTTTGTGTTCTTGCTCTACTTTGTGCATATTGCCCATTCAAAAGAATTGCACAAAGATATGGTCCTGGCCCTTTAGAACTTGTTTTTCTCTTTTTCCCCTAGGCATAGCAGCTTAGCTATTTCTGTACTTAAATTAATTTAAATTTAACCTAGCAACATTTTGAAAATAAATGTGTCATTCTACTATTTTTATACTTTATCTGGTGGCATAGCTCTTTAGTGTAAAAAACCAAGTGTGAAGGTACAAACTGAATTACTTTAATACCTTGGTAACTATGCATTTGTGTTCCTCCTTCCATACTCTAAACTAATAAATTTATTTAAAATATACAAACTGGTGTCACCAAGATGAATTCACCACTCCTATTTTGTTCAGGATTGGCTCAGGCTCTGGAGATTATTAGATTGCAGGCCTTCTGTATGGTTTAATGATTGTTATTTTCCTTGTTGAAATTGTTCACCTTCAATTTAATGTTGCATCTCAATTTTAGCTATTGCATTGTTGACATTAGTTAATTTGTTTCCCTAGAATTTAAAAAAGCAAAGCCAGCTTTGATTTGGTGCCTGGTTCCTTAAGGAGCTATACAACCCAAATAAATCAACTCTATTAACAAACACTTACAGTTTAGATCAGATTGTCGAAGATCCTCCAAGGCTTTTGACTGAAAAACAGAAGATATTCTAGATCTGTTCAAATCACATATTTTGGAAACACTATACAATGGTATTTCAGTATAATATTATGTGACAGCATGTGTCTCATAAAGTGTGTGTTGAATATGATTAAGTATACTGCAGACGACTCTTACTAAAACCATTCGCATTTTATATAAATGCAAAGAGCATATGCATATATGGAGTTGTTACAACTGTGGTGAATATTCATGGGTTGACTTTTTGGTGTGCTGAACATATGTTTTGTAGCCTGTAAACTGTTCAGTAAAAGACCCCTACCTCTTTTTGCTCTCTGTTGTCACTGGGAAACTGCTTAAGAAACATGCTTGTTTGTGGTTTTTCCCATCATAGTTTCTGGTTCCTCACAACATGATCCTAACCACTCTAAAATTGCAATGTATCTACTTCTATCCACCCTCACTGTCTCATAAGTGTTACTTTCAGTATTTAATGAAGCTAGCATTTCTTCCACTAAGACAACATTGCAGACAAAACATGTTGCTCACCAGTTTGCCATCACATAACCACATGAGTTATTTACGCTTTTATTTTTTGACAATCCCATTTTTCAAACTTTCTTGTTTAGCTGGTTATGTGGAAACAATTCTTATTCTTCACAGATAGCCAGCTAGGTAGCTATTTTAAAGCTTCAACAATGTGATCTTTTCTTGAATTACTTAGGTAGAATCCTTCAGGCTCATTTATAAACCATTTAAGCTACCATAATTTTCCCATACACTTATCTCCATTGCATTTAATGATACAAGGACATTTTTAAGTGAAAATAAGCTGGTTTAAGTGTTCTGTGGGCCAAGTGTTTCTTCATCCTAATATTATTCGTTGAATGTTTACATTTTATTCTGTATGCTTGAAGCTAACCTTAAAGGATAAGACATTTTGTTAACTGTGCATAAGCCAAAATAACCTACCGGCATAGTCTTTTAAAACTGGAACTGAATAGATAATTTCTTCATTCAGATTATGTAAATCCATCCCCCTCCAAATTACAAATGCAGTAAAATATAATTGCCGCTTACCCCTTGCCCCCCTTTAATACTAATATGACATTCAATTAGTATGCTAAACAAAGGTGCCTTGTATATTCAACCATTGTCTGCATATATTAAACACAACTATTTTTTTAACGTCCTATAAAAATTTTGTCGGGTATAATTAAGACTTTGGTATTCTCCAGAGAAGTACATGAATTTCACTTTTCTTTCTTTCCTCTTCTTTGCTGTAATTTAAGTACTGTATAATTGTCTTTCCATCACATGGGCTCTTGGGATGCATTATTAAAAGTTGCTGGATTTCTCTTGGGAGAGGAATAGTAGTCTCACAATTGATCTTTCTTTGTTGTGTGTATTACTTAAAGATCAAAGCTATCATTAATCTCAATACGTGTGTTGATGCAAAGCAAGTTAAAAGCTCTATTGCCTTGAATATTCCTACCTTACTTGGATATTAAATTGTGAATGTTAAGATTGCAAGGTAAAAATATTACTTCACATCAAGCTGTAAGAATTCCTACTGTCTACTTTCACCTATATCCAATCCAGCTTCTTCAGCTGGGTGGGGAACCGGGCTCATAAGTAGGTGCTGCAGAAACACTTTTTTCTTTCCAAACCAGTAGCCGGAGCCTTTTTTAAAGGAGTATATCCTATGTAGTGATACCTGAATAAGGAAGCAAAGAGCTGGATTCAGTATATCCACTTCTTCCTCACCTAACACCTGATGAGCAGAATATTAGCATTTAAGAAATGGGTTCACATGTGCAGCCAAGCAACTCTGCACCTGCCCATTCAATCACCAGTATGTTGTTAACAAATAATCTGGCTAAATATTTTCAAATTTGTCTTTATATCAATTCAAATTAACTCATACTAAAAAGCAATATTCTTTTCTTAGCTGCACAATTGAAGGGTAAGACTTTCAGTTCATCATTTTCCAGAACAATATTTTAAACTAACTATGTTCAGTATAACTGTGTGTATAACTGCTTCAGTCGAGGCTTTTGGGGTGTCAGGACCCTCATCTGTGTATGCACATATATTCACGCACTCATTCCCATTCATACTCTTTCCCACTCAGATGCTCACATACACACAGATGCCTCCTCCTTTTTGCCAGACACTCTTTCCCTACCCCTAGACAGGGTTTTCCTTTGTTACTCTAGCAAGTGATACCCTTCAGTTATATCTGATCTCCCCTGAGAGATTAGAGTTATCAGAAAGGCTAACATTCAGGAAAAAGGAGAGAGAGAGAAGAGGTTTTCCAGCTAGTGCATCGCTAAGGAAGCTGTTCCCACAGGAGAGATCAGAGACAGTGGAAATGTTTTCCTTGCTAATGATGGTGAGCGAAATTCTAGCCTTTCCTTAGTTATTTCCAGAAAAGGCAATGTGAATTAAATCTTCCCTACTCCATCTTCTATACCAGGTACCCACCGTGCTTATATGAAAGCCAAAAAGTTGTAGCTGCGAGCTGCATCTTCAAAGTAACATCTGGCTTGGCACTATGTATACCTAAAATTCTGTTGCATAATGCATAGAGTTTGGAAGCATTTCATGTTAATCCATTAGTCCTTATGTGTCTGACAAACTCCATTAATAAGCTGAATTTGTTGTATGCATCATCTGTATGGTATGAATACTTCAAAGCACTGTCTAAATTAATGAGTGAACCCTTAAAGGGCATTGAGAAAACCCATAGAGCCTATGTAAATGGACACTGTAAAAAGCCAAACAAAACCAGGAGTCCTTGATATTTTTTTATTCTTTTGCTCCAAAAAGTTGCATACTTCAGATTGTAAAAAAAAAAAAGGAAAGCATCTGGATCTATAAAAATTGAATTATTTTAAGAAAAAATGAATAATTCACTAAGCTGAAATGTTTCAGCTGAGCTTTAATTTCTGCTTTTAACTATAATTTGTTGTATTTCATAGAATATACTTCTGTAAGGGATGAGAGTGCCACATTATCAGCTATATTCACATGGTTACATGCTGCCACATACTTTTAAGTTTAAAATCCAACATTTGGGGGCGATAGCGGCATGTAGACACACACATGCGTATGCCCTCATGCATACTTGTCATACACATTGATGGATGTATGCATGAAGCTCTCCTGTGTTGATAGCCATATTTGTCAGCATAAACTTCAAGAAATTTACTGCCTAAGTTTTGAACTGTATGACCACAGCTGTTGGTATTTGCTTGGAAAAAGACGTTAAAATGTGCATGTTTACACACTAAAAGTACAGCATAAATAATCATCACATTCTTATAGGGACGCCTTTTAATGCAGCTGGAAAATTCAGGGATCATGTAATGGAATTTCTGGCAGCACAGCCTAAGATAACTTTCAGAAGGAGATACATTTGGAGGACAATTTGTGTCACAATTTAGTCATTCTGAAATCTTGTGTGAGTTCTGTTTAATAGTACTCTCAGCTTCTTTTGTGCCTTAAGATAGAGTGCTCCCCAGTAATTGAGAACACTTCCCTCAACACTGCCAAACAAACCCCAAAAATGTATCTGAGAAGGTGCAGAAAACATATCTTTGATTGTTAACACACCAAATTGCAAGTTGGTAAGGCTGCTGCTGAAATCAATTAAGAAAACTGGATGAAAATCAATATACCAGGGTGAGGCTTGCAGGCAGAAGACCATACCCATTTCTAAGCCACCTAACTTCCTTCCTGTTTCTAATTGTCCAAAGAACTAGAATCCACATCCTGATTGCACAGGCCACAGTTAAGTTATCAGAGTCTACATAAAACTCTATTATGCCATACTGTTAATTAAAATGACAAGTCACATGTAATTTCAGTCATTCACTGTGCTATGTAATTGAGTTGACTGAAGGAGGGGACTTGGTGCAATTGAGGAAACATGCCTGACTATTTCAGGATCCTTTTAAGAATAATTGAGAGGAAGTTGTTTTCTTTTTTGCTAGTTTTCAGCACAATTCCCATATATCCTACCCTTTTTCCAACACTGTGCACCAGAAAATCTATTCATTCCTAAAGAGACCATAAGAAAAGACAATACAGATCACTTTAAACTTGTTCTTAAAATTTGCTTTTTGGGTATAATAACTGAATAAGAGGTAGTAGAGCAGCAATGGATACATTTGGATATATCATTCTTTTACACTCCATTTCATCCAGGTTTTTTGACCTGCCTAGGGAGCTGACCCAGCTTAGTAACCTTGAATGGATGAAAAGGGTCAGGAATGATGATAAATTCTTCCATATTGATTCTTTTGGACATTACAGTAGTTTTTGCTCATGTGAAGTCATACAGTGATGAACATCTACTGGCATGTCAGGGATGACTCTAGAGTGGTTTCATTCTTTGCAGGTAAAATCTGATCATGCCAGTTTTGCCCCATCTAAGAATTGTTTATAAGGGTTTCCTGTAGGGTCAGGTTTCTTCATGTTCTTGTTGAAAAGTTGATGGAAGAGTTTAATCAGAGGTTTGGAGTTGGAGTTAACATACAAGAGAATTTGTCTAGAGTCTTTCTGTAAAGGGTGGAAAGTATAAAACTTATCTTTCCAAAGGTATTCTCCACAGAATTTCAATGAGTTCCTCCTACTCTTGTTATTACAAACTTTCAAACCTTCTGTGCTTGTATTTTATTGTTGATTGTTGTTAATCACTGACTCTTTGAAGAGATTATTTGGATTAATTTTTAATTGATAAATGATTACATCCCATAAAATGAATTCAACATGACATTTTGTTCTTTATATTTTACTGAGAGTCCATGTCCTCTTCCTGTTCTGCCATCTTGCTTTGCAGGAGAAGCTTACATGAGGCTCAGCAGATTCTCTGAAGCAGAACATTGGTATGTAGAATCGCTGCGCTCCAAAACAGATCACATCCCAGCTCACCTTACCTATGGAAAACTTCTAGCTTTAACGGTGAGTTAATCATCAGGAGAATAAAAGTAGTATTTTGTGAAAATACTTTCTAATACTACAGATTGAAGCTATCCATATAGCAAGGTAAGCATCTCCCTAAATGTGTCTCTGTCTGTGTGTGTGTGTGTGGGGGGGGGGTGCACTACACATTGAATATCTGTGCTTAGTTTGATGGGAGGTGCATGGTACCCTCTCCCCCAACTCTATGTTCCAACTACTTACTTGGAAAGGCATATGTTTTTAAGTAAGAAGGCCCTGGTCTGGACACTCAGCACCTGAGACTGGTGAGAGGCTGTGGGAGTGTTGGGGAAATGGACTATTTGCCTCTTTAACAACTTCTACAAGCTCTCCTCCCCATAACCCCACACAACCTCTTTCTCAGCTGAGCACATCAGTGCAGAGTGGAGCCATCTGGCCCTTGGAAATCCAGCAGCCTCCTGGAACATATATGCAGGTCCACTGTGAGGTGGTGGGCTGCCTGGTAACCACCTCTGTACTAGATCCTTGCCCCTTCTGTCTTATAAAAGCCAACAAGGAAGGAGCAAGACTGATTTCATGCCAGCCGAAGAGGCAGTGGTGAGACTAGTTCTGAGGAAATCCACCTTGATCCAAAAGACCTTACTAATTCTAGACCGATGGAAAATATACCATTCCTGGGGAACCTGCAACAACAATAACAATAGGTTGTTGTTCACTTTAATAGAAAATAATGACAGACATCCAAGCTTCTGTAACTCACAAGATCATGAATTGCATATTGGTTTGTTCTCCAAAGCTTGAATGAAATGTACCATAATTAAATACTGTGATTCCATCACATTAATTTGAAACTTATTTTGCAACTCTCTTTGCATGTAGAGATACCTAAGCCAGTTATGTACAGCAGTATCATAGATTTTCGGCTTAACCTGGTTTATTTTCACACATTTTACATAAAGTGCGACAGTGTTCTGTACTGTTGTGTATGCTAATTTTCTTAGATTTGTTTAGGTGTAATATAAGATTGTGCTTTATGTATCTTAGGGTGTTTTTGTGGGAAGCTATATATCGTAGGCAGAGTGGCAGAATGGGAACACGGAAGAGTACTTTTTAACAGAATAAATCCAATCAGTTTCCTAGGAAAATGGTTAGGTGGATTATAATCATTCTGTCTAGAGACAAATGTAAGAAATATTTCTCAACTCATATATCAAGTAATATTATAAATTCATATGTAAAAAATATAACTCATGAGGGTATATTTTTCTAGAACGCATGAGAACAGGAAAATTTAGTGGTTAGGGCAAATGAGCAGTGGCTTAGTTTAGTAGAATAATTGGAAAACAGCCAGTCCTTGGCTGAAACCTGTTTTCATTTTATTAATATACTTTTCAGAAACTATATTGTGCCACTTGAATTAAATTGCAGTATGGCCCTGCTGTTCTAAAAACCTTAAAATCTGTTAGGCTAGTCCATGAAAGTTTGAGCAACAATACATTTCTTAGTCTTTAAGGTGCTGCAGCCTTCGTTGTGTTTGCTGCAGCAGGCTAAGAGCTACCCCTTTGGAAATTGCTTAAGGACAACAAAAATTTGCTGCCTTAATCTAGTTAGTCCACTTGTAACACAGGACCAGGTGCAGCCTTGAATATGTGGACTCCTTAATTAGCATTTGATCAAGATTTTTCAGTCCAAGCAGTCCCTGAAGGTGTTCATAATCTTATGAAGTAACTTTATGTGTTTTTTGTTATGATTTTTTATTAGAAACTAAAGTGTATGTTGTATGTGGTCTGCTATGACAGTTATTAAGTGATATCAAGAATACCAGCTTCAAGTTCTCCTATGTATTTATCCCAGTTTTCATATCTGCTCCTACAGTATCCATTTATAATCTAAATGCTGTGTTCACGTTCTATAGCCCGCTACAGGTCAGACTATCATTGAATGGTTGATCTGCTCAGAAGCTACTGTGGGCTTCAGCAGAAATGGTGGCATAACTTTTCCTACTGCATTTGGGTTAGCTGCAGTGATAGCACAGAGGAGCAAAGTAGCCTTGGGAAAAGTCCCTGAGTGCTGAAGTGGACATGGAGGCCATCACATCAGTGGATAGCAATAAAGGAAATACCACCACCATGCCACTGTATGACCAGTAACTTTTTTTTTATTGGTACCCTCTTCATACAAAATACTTGGGCAGCTTCAGTGCTTTCTGATGGAAAGCGATTGGCCACCAACACTTCCTATTTATGGTACATATCATAGAATTGAAGTTTAGAGGGTGGAAAAACAAGACGGTGGTGTACAATGAAAGATATTCCGCCAAAGCATACGTTTCTTTCATTTGCAATTCATTTCCTCACCTTCTTTTATAGTTATGTCTTGATTTTGAATGCTGAGGATCCCATTCTGTCATGCATTGTGAAGTAACTGCTGCTTCTTTATATGTGAGGAGGTAGTTCCCCATTTGAGTCCTTTCCCGTTGAACACTGAGCCCTTCCTGACCAGCACTAGAATAGCATATTCAGCACCCTAAGCTAAATTATTAAGCAATTCACTTGTATGTTTTAACTGACCACAGTTAGATATGAGCAGCATACCAGACTTACAGCGCTAAGAAAGCTATTTTGCAGATGGTATATGTCACCACAAGAACACACACTTCCCCCCATTTCATTTGCATGTTCTGTGTTAATTTTTTTTATAAATGTCTTAATATACTTTTATACTCTTTGTGGTCATAGTTTCCCAAGGAAGAACTTGATTTGAATCATGTTGGACCCAATAAAACTTATTTTTGTGCACTTAAGTTTTGTGAACATGGAGATGTTCTCCCTTCCTCTTTCTTCCATGTCTTTCTACTTTCCATACTTTCTTTCCTTAGGTCCTACTTACTAACCTTATCAAGCAGAGGGGTCTCGACATGTTCATGGGGAACAAGCTGTGTTTGAGAATCCCTGGTCTCAAGCTAGCAAGGTTTTAAAGGTATTGCACTTCAAAAAGCACAGGAGACCAGTGACACTGTTTCAGTCCTGCTGAGATATGTTCCAAATAGCCCTTAAAGGGCAGCCCATGAACAATGCATGATAGTAGTCAAGTCTGGATGTTTCTAGGGCATCGATAAGCATGACATGGGAACAGCAGTTTGAAGAAAAATTAGATAAGTAAGCAAGACTTACATCTGTATTTCGGGCCTTTCTCTTTCTTATGTAAAACCTGCTGCCCAGTTTTGAATTTATTTTGCCATTCTTTTTTCAGAGAGCTCTTTATCCATTTCTATTGGAAATGACAGCATTTCCTAAATTTATTTCGTTCACAAACTGACATCTGTCAAGTTTGGCTCCTTTGAAATTGGCCACATGCCCCCAAATTACTTTCATAATTATATCTGCATAATACTTTTAATCCCATAAATAAATGTGAGTGTCTGCTTTCAAGTATTGTGTAGGTCTGATTGTGAATGAGAAGTCACTCTTCTTTAAGAATAAATATTTTGTAGCATCATTCTGTGGCTACATTGCTGGTGTATTTCTTGACAACAAGGAAGGTCATAATTAGCATCTTCAGCCACATACTTTGAAGCTTCTTACTGGAAATGAGGCAGGCAAGCACGAGTTACAGGGGTTATGAAAAGCTCAAGTGCCTTTACAACAAAATATTCAAACACAAACTAGCAAAACATTGTTTATTTATTTGAAGTATTTTTATGTTGCTCCTCAGCCAAAAAGACTCCCAGCGGTGCTTGTACATACTTAGTTAAACAAGACAGTCAGTGCCCACAGGCTTCTAATCTTGAAAAGGCATGACACACAAGGAAAAGGAAATGAGGAGGGAAGTGGGAGGTGAAATTAATTCTTGCAGCAGGGATGGTGGAATGGGCCTGCTCTCACTCTCATCTCTGTACAGTCTCCTGGAATGTCTGTTGGTGGTAACAGCTCATTATTTTATGGAGTAATTAGTTTGTATAATAATTCCTTGAGTGCCATTTTATTTTAATGGAAAGGCAGGCTATAAATAATAAAAAATATGCAGTCCACATGGAGAAGCCTATAATGAATACTCTGTGCTTTTTTTGGTGGGTAGGGCCAAACCAAGCTTGACCTAAAATGCATTTTTGCTTTTAATGTGCAAAGTTTTGAAAAGTGAAAGTAGCAACCTCAGGCTGGGGGATTATCAAAGGGACTGCAGCATGAATGGAGAAAAAATGGAAGCCTACCAGCCTTCACTGTTGTCCTGATGAAAAGTTTGGTATTTCTTCCCACTGCAAATAACAATTGCAAGAATGCATAGGTATCTAAAGACTTCACCCTGTATCAAGTAGCTTCCCCGTCCAATTGACTAAATCACCTAGTAGGCTTTCCTGGTGGGTATTGGAGCCTCTGGGTTAGGAGTACAAATATCTGATCAGAAATCAGAAATGCAAAAGCTACAGCCCAGGGGCCTAAGCAAACCTCAGTCGTTTTGTCCAGTGCACACTGCCTGCCATGGAGGATGGCACATAAACCTGAGGACTTGGCCCATGCTGGGAAGGGCAGCTGCTTCTCCCAGAGGATTCCCATTTTCATGCTGACGGAGGCATGGAACCTTCTTTCCCAGCAAGGAAGAAGGCAACATCGGTTGGTAGGGGTGGGTAGCTGCTGACATTGGCTGGTGTGTCTGCATTCATGGATATTATCCATGGAGATAACATGTCCCCAAGGAGAGGGGCAGTTGAGCCTCCTGTCAAAAAAACCATGCTGCAACACTGCTCTAAAGCTTCACTTTATTTTGTGCAGGGCATTTAAATAAGCAGCTGGTACAGTTAAGTTTCCCACTGATCACACATACTTTGTTTAACCAGAGAGGGGAAGAATTACTACTTTCTTTAATGGGAAACATTCATGTGTGACACAAATTTGATCAAGCTACTTGCCTAATTGTTACCTGGCAACATATACAAATCTCTACAAAGGCAACATTCAGACCTAGTTAACTGCATCAACATTTCCCAGATTTTCTTGGAATTCTCCAGTGATTCAAAGTAGGCTAGATGAACCTGAACACAGAGAATTCTGCCAGCCACCTCAGTGATAGTGGTGTTAATAGAGAGCCTCCTTCCCCCAAGCACCTCCAGTAATAGAGGGAGATGGATCGTGCAGATTTTCTCCTTCCTTACAAGCAGCTTTTATAGCTTTTTTAATCAAAGAAAAATGTCAGCCTAGTTGAATAAAATGTCACATTTTATTAAATAATTGGATTTTCTGCTTTTCAATTATTCTGAGACTTCTATTATTTCAAAAGTGTTTTCAATCAGAAAGCTTGGTGGTAGGTATCTTGCATTACTTGCTGGATTAGACAAAGGTCACTATGATATTATCCTACTCTCCCCTGTTACCTGAGTGGGGAACAGTTACTTCAGGGTGAACTAGGGAATGCTGGAGAAGCTTTGTAATAGTTATATTTACCATTATAAAAGCAAAAAGGGAAAAGAGAATTCTTACAGTAAGTCCCAAAAGAGCCATTTGTCCAGCCTTCCCAAGCATGCACACCCAGTGCCAATTGTCCAGCCTCAACCCATACAGATGAATTGTTCATTCAGTAAACATTCAGGATGCAAAGATAATACTATTTTTAAGAGTATATTTTAAGGTTGGCACTGAACTGAAGTAATGTTGGGATCCAGAGGCATTTGGAGAAAGAAAAATGACAGCTGCCATAGACCTGCCCTGCACCTTTACTTACTTTGCTGTGCCTTTGAAAGGACAGACGAAGGTGGGATCCTGCCATTTTCATGGCTCTGAAAGGGCCAGCACTCAGCTGGGTGGTTCTGTTTGGACCACTCCCTGCTGCTTGTTCTTGCAATGGTGTATTTCCCATAACCTGGTAAGCTAAATATGAAAAAGAACACTGGGGAGAGTGTGGACAACCAAGGATAAAAGTTGGAGGGGTTACTGCCAGAGGGGCTTAAGAAGTGATATAAGGGGAAAAGTTGAGAATGCAGAGGTAGTTTTGTCTAGGGTCCCACAGACTTAATTCTGTAGTTGATACCCCATCTCGTGTGAACCGGCCAGGCAAACAAGCAACACGGTCCATTTCAAGTACTAATACTGTTCTATGTGTGCAAACTGCACTGGGAGTATTTGTAACCAACATGGCTTTTTAAGAAGGCCATGCATTTTAAATGTTGATTGCATGGGTATACCAGGCTTGGCTTTGCAAGCCTTAGGTTTCCTCTTGGACATCTAGGCTTGAGCCATCACACTTCTTTAAGGAACATGGCTGGAAGGAAATGGGAATAACTAGATTAAACAAATGGAATAGTGAAAATGTAAGCAGGATAGCTGCTTGGCATCTTCCTAAGTCAAGATTTTTGGCCTAGACAAAGGATTGTTGATCCAGAGAAGCAGGTGACATGGCCAGGCAAACGATCTGGAAGGAAGTGAGCCTACACTGTTCAAGTAGCTTATTCAAAGGTTTTAAATTAATGTCAAATCACTCTGTTGATACTCAATAAAGTCCACATATTAGTTTATAAACATTTTATTTTATGAGCCATCAGAGAAAGGATAATTGTACAGACACACACCCAAACTGGACCTAACTATTCAGAATCAATTTTTCATTACTGTTTATATTTTTAATACTGGAGTATGCATACTTAGGAAAATCTAAATTCTCAGGCAGTGTATTTGTGTTTCCATCAGGGATAAAGTAGTAACCTTTGGTAGAATGATATTTCATAATATATTTATATTACATCATTCATATTATAAAGCTAAAAAAGACAAACACACATACAGGTAAAGGTTTATATGTATGCAGTAGCTACAGTATGAAAACGTTTAAGCCATTGCAACTGTCACATCATTTTTTCCTCTTAAAATGAAAAAAGATTCTTCTCTCCATCCTTCTCTTTGTTGTACTCCTTTGGGTTAAATTCCTATAATGGAGTAAATATAAAGTCAATTGTAAGTCAAACTATGGCAGTATATGTCATATGTTCATATTCTGATCTTATTCAGAAAAGAGCATTGAAATTATCTGATTTTAAAGTTATTCTTGATGACAGAAGATGTAGATTGCATAAATGCTATAAATTAGCAGTAAAATAGCTGATTCTGGTGAAATGAGATTTTATGCTGTCTGACAGACCAAAAAAAAAGCAAGGAGGGGGGTAAAATCTATTCAGCTTAATAGCACTTGCTAATTCGACTTTTTAAGAGCATGAAAGAGATTGGGTCTGATAGTTATATGGTAATTGCTTCAAAAAAGTTTTATAGTCAATTGACACTCAAGCTGAATAAATAACCTGTTCTGTGAGGCTGCAGACCAGAAGGAGAGGAGAGGGACTATATCATTTCTGCTGAGAGACTAGCTGCCTTTGGTTCTTCCTAGCTGGCAGCTATTGTGCCAGACTAGATTATTTTTTCTACCATAGCTGCTGGTAGTAGGAACCGGTACTTGAACCTCCTTTTTAACCTCCTCTCTCCCCATCCCTTTTTTCTTTTATATCACATGCCTGTAATCATGGGGACACAGCCTCTTAATACTCATCTTTGTAAGCCACTCTGGAGCCATTTTAAGACTGACATGTAAATGCTGCAAATAAGCACATAATTTGTGGCTAAGCAACACAATATTTAAAGTGTTGTGACTCCTTTTCTGTTCTTTTCCCACACTTATAAAACATTGCCTCTTTTGTTTAGGTGCCATTTTGTGACCTAGTTTCTTACCCTTGCAGCTTACCAACTCACAGGTTAATTTCAATTTCTTTCCCATTTTTTTCAAGCATTCTCCTTCCATTTGACAAGAAAAAAATTTGCTTTCAGCAAAAAAGGAAAAAGGAGAGGAATGTTTTGATTAACCTCATGGATAAAGAGATTGGGTCCTACTTTAGTTGTGAGGTGGCTTAGGGGCAAGTACAAGTGCCCTGTATTTTTCTGTGCAGTCTTATCTCTGCAGCCTGTTCTTGTGTGTTAAATAAAGTTCAGTTGGAGACATCATATAGTAACCATTTCCTAATTCTTAAAGAGAAGGGGTTTTGGCAGTCAGGGAGGCTACAGAGTGATGGGGAGCTGTGAAAGGAAAAGATCAACATACATCCTATTGAGCCACCTTGCAGAAATAAGGTAAGCTCAAAACACCACCCTCTGAAGGTCTAGAGTGCTCCAAGAATGAGGCAGAAAAATGGAAGCCTCTTTCACAAGGAAAGGAAACAATCAGCGATCTTGGCAGAGCATTTCAAGAACAAAATTGTGTTTTCTGCATGGATGGAAAAATATATTTGGTCTTGTTTTAAGTTTTATGAAGGTAGTTTTCAAAGACATGGAAGAAATCCAGTGAATTGTTCCCCTTTTCTCCAAATCTGAGTGTGCAATGAGACATGAGAATTAGCCAGCTAACACTAATAGCGTTCGCCTGTTTCAGGGCAATGACAGAAGAGACGTAAATGTTAATTCCGTAGCATTAGCATTATGCTCCAGTCTTGGTCCACAGTTTGAGAGACCTGCAGATGAATGCTTTGTGACATTAAACTTTTGCCAGAGGAGGAGGATAACTTTAATGCTCTGTACTGATTTTTAATTTCTTCTGTTTATCCTATAATCCACATTATCCTTTTAGTTCTACCAGGAGGCATTAAGGCTTCTTTTCCTCTCCTAGTTGCCCTTCTCCCTTCAAAGCATTGTGTATATGTTCACTTCATTTCACTCACCATGATTTCCATATGGAAACGAAGCATTAGGCCTGATAGATAACCTCAGCATGGAACTCTGAATCTGAGTGACTGTTGGAAGGCAAACATTTTAAACATATCTCTACTGTAAATATACATTGCAAGTACCCGTGTTTTCTTTAATTACGTCATTCAAAATGCCTCCTCTCCTGCCCACCTTACCCAAATCTGTAGAGGTGCCATGTGTTCCATGTGAACCCACAGGGCTAAAAGGAAAAAGTATAGGCCCAGCATAAGCTGTACGATTCTGAAGGGTTATCAGAACTGCACACCTATACGCTTTGTCCCAGGTATTTGAAATAGAAAGGGGTCTGCGTTATGGGAAAGTGCCATGGTACTCCCATGTGTACCAGCCACTCGTTGACGGGCCTTGTGTAGCCCTTCCCAGGTGCAAAGAACGATAATTGATTTTATTATTTGAATTACAGGCAGGTTAAAATAATTAGCAAAGAGAAAAAGAAACCAGTGGTGTCATGGGAGCACATGACTCTAACCAAAGAGAATGGAATGAATGTTGTGTTCTAACAGGATGTTAACAAGGACTATAGCAAAAAGGCTTGTGGAATCTTGAAACCTAACAAATGTATCCTGGTATAAACTTTCATGAGCCATAGACTACTAAACCAGATTCAAGTAGATGGTAGTTCATTAGGTGTTAGCCTTTAAGGTTTCACAAGACTCTTTGTTGGGTTTGCTTCACTGAAATTATTAATGCTTCAGTTTGTGTTTTGGAGATATTTAACTTGCGTATTCATACAATAGTTTAAATGTAACAATGTTCACATGGCACACTGTTGAAATAACTGCCCTGTGTCTGCTTTTTTCGCTTAAGGGTCGTAAAAGTGAGGCAGAAAAATACTTCTTAAAGGCAATTCAGCTTGATCCTACCAAGGGAAACTGTTATATGCATTATGGTAAGTTTTAGTAGATAATGTTTCCTCACATAATCTAGTTTGCTAATTCTTTCTGAATTCTCAAGGAATTAAAAATATGGTTTAAGGGAAAAAATCATAAACATGCCAGTTGAAACTAGACTTCCAATGTGTAAAGGGGATTATGACCACACACACCCTGGACCCGGCAGCTGTACTGTGAGAAGAAATTAGCTGCTGCCGTCTACAGCAGCTTAAATGGGACCCTGATAATTGGAGATCAGGGCATCACATCTAAGATAAAAAGTGCTCTTTTCTTTGTAAATTGTATAACATTCAAATGAGACTCACTTCAAAATTGCAGGCTTTCTCCATGGAGAATGGAAGAAAATTAATATTAAGTCCAGTCAAGTTCTTACGCATCTTTATTATTACTAGGCCAGTGACATTAGCCTTTTGTAATGTTGGGTGAACAAATCAATATCATTCCTCAGTTAAGCATCAACCCAAGACAGTTAGGGCTCTACTTGCAAGATTAAATTTCTAAATATATTTAGAAATCTATATTGCAGGGCCAGTTTTGGCCCACATACTGCTGAAAACCCCCTTCCCGTTCTCTACTCTTAGCTTTGACAGCATTAACCACCTGTCTGGAGGAGAAAAAGCAGATCTGGATAGAGTAGTAAGGTTTTGTGAGCACACGGCATAATATTTACAAATGAATCAGACACAAACTTGGGGTGTGAAAGAGAAAGAATGGGATGTGCATGCACAGGGGCAGATGCACAAAACACTCCTTTTGCAGCTGCCCAGCCCCTTACCCATTTTGTAGAGACAATCTGTGCATTGTCTCTACACAGATCCTTAGAAAAATCACTGTGTGCTGGACTCTTAAACCCTTAACTCTTCATATTTCTATAATCAAGGCCAAAATAATACGATGAGGTGAGAACACTTTTATGTCAATTTAATAAGTCTTTTTAGATCATGTTGGTCCTAAGCAGGTAACAATAATTCATGATTAACTTTTCATTAATTTGATGACACAAAATTCAAAATTATGTAGCTAAAGAAATGGAAGAGAATGGAGTTAAGCTTAATCATGGGTAATGAACAGCAGCCATGGCAGCAGCATGGATTTTGGTAAACCTTCTGGTTACAGGTAATTTAATTAAATGGCTAGAAGGCGCACTACATGAGTGGAAGTTGCTCAGAACAGAAGGAAGGTCATGCAGTGTCTGGCTGTTTTGTGGAATTTGGTGTAAGATTTATAACTTTCTGAAAATGATTCCACTTTTAGTTATGATTTTCCTGCTTGAAACTTAGGGCTTCAGGTGAAGTCCATCAGAAGCATCCATGATGTTCAGTCAGTGCAGATCCATAGTTTAACTCCATACCAGCACCAGCAGTTCTCCCTTTCGGGATCAGGGCACCTGCCAGTAGCATGCTGTGTAGTCAGCTTCAGGTAGTTCTTCCAGAATTCACCCCTTCAGAAAATAGTAGTGTAAAATTTGTCTTGTCAAAGGAGGGTTTTTTTTTCCAGTGGGCTGCTACAGCTTAGCATCTCCAAATTGCTGTCAGGCAATCTAGTTTTCTAGTTTCAGGTGGCAAATGACAACTTTCTTGTTTTGCCCAGTTTTTCCACTATTATAGATCACTCTTTGAACATTAGGATACTTTTGGTAAAATGCTGGCTTATGTGCTTGTAATGTGTGGTGTTTCCAGTCTTGTATTTGCTGTGCCTTGATCAGATTGTACTTTGGTACTTGTAAAAATTGGTAGTTAAGAAAATTTTAAAGTAAGTTGATGCTTTCCATGAAGTTTCTGCTGTGATCTCCAGATCAACACATCATAGTATTGCCTAACCAAGGTTGTTACTTGCTTTCAAATCACAAGATAAAATAGGTTAAAGTACCTTGTAGCTGAGTTAGAATGGCATGGGGAATTGAAATGTATAGGTTGCCACTCTCTCCTTCCAATTTTGATTGTCTTCAGGACCAGATTTGCATTGCATCCATTTGGATGCTGAAGACTAGAAGTGTAGGCACCCTGAAGTTAGCCCTATTGACATCAGTAGAATTTACTTCTGAATATCATGGATTAAATCAGCCCGCCTATTATGCATCTATGAATGAGACACCCTAAAAATCCATTGTCTAATAAAGAGATTCATGGATTTGTTAACTCTTGATTGCATGATCACAGTGCTTTGTCTGAAGGATTTCTTCTGACTTAAATTTAGTTGTAGCTGGTGTGGAAGATAGTAGCTCATTTGTTACAAAGTATTTCACTCTGTGAAAATTGGATGGGATGAAAAATGAATATAAGAACACAGAGCTGCTTTTCAGATTGTAGATCGAAAGATAAGGCCTGGATAATGCAGAGCTGAATCTTTTTTATGCCTTGCTTGAGATGGTGATAAGACATACATACGTAAATAAATATCAAAGATGCAGAATGTAAAGGTTCAGGGATAGAACATCTTATGTTCTACCTAGAGAGAAATCTGTATTCAAATCAGTTCTCAGAAATAGTACAGAGTAGTAGCTATCTGAACCCAAATCAAACATTGACTTTCCTAGGGGCTTCAGAGTGGAACCCAGGAACTGAACCAGGGACCTCTTGAATACAAAGCACATGGACTTCCACTCTGGCACAACCTTCTCCTAAAAATGTTCCACCAAGGATAAAGTCATTTGGCAACTTTAGGGAGTGGAACTCAGAGCCATAAAAAGAGATACCAATGGAGCTGCTGAAAAATATTCTAAAAAATAGAAGAAAAAATTGAATCTTTGGAGAGGACAGTATAATGGAAGCACATTGTAAACAGAATAAATCAGTGGTGTTGGAGAGAAGGAAAAGAGTTAGGACAGTAAGCTTCACTGAGATTGACTCCCAGGCTTAAACTGTGTTTCAGGCACTATGATAACATGCATGCCCCTTCTCTCCTGGGAAAGAAGAAGTGGGGAAAGCAGTTCAAGACATAGATTATGGGCATGGCTTGTGTTAATAAACTACAGTCAAGAGGAAACATTTTAACCTGCAGTTAATAAAAAAGGCAGCAAGAATTTCCAGTCTCCTCCTAGCTAAATTTGAGAAGGACCTGGGATGCTTGCAAGCCACAGCCAGGCTAGGTTCATTTTCAGCACAGTAAACCATGATTGATCATGATGTCCTGTTAAAAAATCCTTTTGGCAATGGTTTCTTTGCTTTTTAATCAAATGTATTGATTAATTAATTCTTTTATCGTTTTTGTTGTACTTACTCTAATCTATCCAAGAAGCCAGATGAAAAGTTTGTCTCCAAAGCAAATGCTTTTAGCAAAAGCATATCTCAGGTTGAGACTCTGGACATTTCCTCTCAATTCCTCATGAATTTGCTTAAGCAACTTGTCATTTCTACACTTTGTAACCCTTATATATCTGTGATAAACCAAAGGGAGCTACTTTTATATTAGTTATGTAAATCTCAAAGAGTAATTTCTTGTCACATCAAAACTGGTGGCAGTGCCCCTAGAAATAGTATAGCTTATCAAAGACCCAAAAGGAATAAATAGCCATTTGAGACTTGGAACTCGGCAATACTGCATGTATTACACAATTTATTTCTATAATGTTGGCAGAGTTTCTTTTCATCATGTTTATATAGTTTTTATCCAGCTGTTCTTTATAGTTCCTTTCTATCACAGTAGTTCTGCAGCGGTAGTGAAATGATCTATGAATATAACCTATATTTTCAAAGGATAGGCATGTTGGTTTACATTCAAAAGCAGGTTAAATAAAGAAAGCATCAGAATGGCACTCTTTTCTCTTTACCGTAATAGAAGGAAATAATGTCTCTTAATTTAATATCAGGTGTATCAGTTTGTTGTAGCACGACATTTTCAAATTCAACAGTTCAGCAATCGTGCATACATTTGATTGCAGTTCGGAAGCAGCTTTTTCAATTTCCTCTGTAATCCATCCATACTTAGTGCAATACTATACATTTCTATGCAGAAATAAACCCCATCTACTTTAAATGGGCCTTTCTTCTAGTTAAGTTTGCAATGGAGTGAAGCCACAGGGATATCAGTGCTTTGTTTCATGCAGTCATCCAGCACAGGCAATGCATGTATGAAGACTGTTCTTTCAACAAGTGTCAGGTGCATTACATACTCCTTTCGCCATTGTGTCCCCCATCTCCTGTTTGGAAGCTTTCCTATTTAAGAAAATGACTCGAGATCTTTAAGAATAAGTCCTTGATAGTGTTGATATATACTTGATTCTCCACCTCATGCTACTTTTCTCATTTTTATTTTCTATTTTACCAACAGCAACCATTTTTTAAAAAAGAAAAGTTTCTTACTCTGTTCTCAGGGTGGCTTGGACCCCATCTTTTGGCAGGGTCGAGGAATCTCTCTCAACTGTTTTATGGCTTCCTTCTTATTCCTAGGTGGGCTGGTTATCATGCTGTGCCTGAGAAACTTTACCAGGTATCCTTGAAACTGCCAAGTCATCCATGCATCTCTGACTTTCCACCTGCTTCTCAGAATCAGTCAATTCTATGTGATCAGACTGTAACATGGTAGAGCTGGGCCCCTGCTCTACAATAATGCATCTTGGGATTTTTTAAGGAAATCTGGTTATTTGACTGTAAATACTCTACCAGTCATGCTGGCCACATGACCACAGAAACTGTCTGCGGATAAAAGCTGGCTCCCTCAGCTAGGAAACGGATATGAGCACCGCCCCCAAGAATAAGACATGACTGGACTTTAATGTCATGGGGAAACCTTTACCTTTAACCTTTACCTTACTCTACCAGTAGGGGATGCAGTGGTGCAGGGGCTTAAACTGCTGAGCTAGTTGATCAAAAGGTCAATGGTTTGAATCTGCACAACGGGGTGAGCTCCCCTTCCCCTTGCTCCATCCCAGCTCCTGCCAACCTTGCAGTTCAAAATTGTGCAAATGCAAGTAGATAAAAGGTACCACTTTGGTGGGAAGTGCATTCCGTGCACCAGTGTTTAGTTGTGCTGGCCACATGACCACAGAGACTGTCTGCAGACAAACGCTGACTCCCTCAGCTAAGAAATGGAGATGAGCACTGCCCCCTAGAGTCAGACATGACTGGACTTTAATGTCATGGGGAAACCTTTACCTTTACCTTTTTTACTATACCAGTGTTGCAATCCAAGGAGTTGGATTGCTTGTTTGTTTTAAACAAACTTCATCCAATCCAATGGCACATGTACATGTGTGCAGTTCTCTGGGAAGTTCTTAACACCTTTTTTGGATAAGAAGGATCATTTCTGATAAAAGAAAGATCCAAATGGGTTTCTGTGGGGTTTTTTCCTTGATTTAGAGCACAGTACTTGTGTACACTAGAAATATCCCATGTAAATTGCATGTATGACCTCACTCTTCCTAAGCAAGTTAAGGAATTAATAAATAAGGGCGCAGCATGATGTATACCTAGGCAGAAAAAAAGTTCTACAGTTCCCAGCATGCCCCAGCCACTTACAGGATTATGCCTTCAATAAATGTTGGAAGGGTTCTTCCTGTAGAAAATTGGAAATTTGCCACCCTGATAGAATGGAAGAATTCACAGGAAATAATCTGTATAAGCACGAAAACCTTCCTTATAAAGTAGCTAATAATAGTTTACTAAGTATCTTGTGCATGATCTGAGAAGTACCTTTTCCTCTTTATCACATTTCCTCCTCCTGTATTTTATTTTAATGTCTCTAGCTAGTCTACTGCTCCTTCTCTTTCCAAGCAGATCTGAACAAAAGGCGTTCTTTATTATGTTAAAACTGACCAACTAGGCTGATTTGGTGATACAAAAAAGCAGTATTACAGAAGTTAATAACAAAAGACACAAGCAAAATCAGAATACTGATCCTCTGGGAAACTAGGCTTAATTAAAAAGTGTTGATTCCAAACGGAGTAACTATCTTCCCTTCTGCTTATGGGCCCATCTCCTGAAACAACTGACATTTCTCAATGTCCTTCTTAAGCTGGCGCCATGTAATCAGACTAATGACATTAGGGTCAACCCCTCACACATCAGTTCGTTGCCCAGAATTTCCACCGTGCTCCCACAACCCGAAACTGTTTGGTTCTCAAGATCCATTGGCCACAGCATTTTAGCTGCAAATTCCAACTCACCTCTACTCCCACTTTTGAGTGAAAATCCAAAACAACAATCTTAGAAGACAGTATAAGGAGAGGAATGGGTCCAATCCCTATAAAATAACTACACGAGACTGAGTAATAATAGGACTGGTTTGGTTTAGAAAACTTGGCAAAGTTCTACCATGAACAAAAGAACTGTGTGATACTTAAACATAAGGTAGATTAAAGGAGCAAAATAAGGGTTTCAAAAGTCTTGTGGACTTGGATAGAAATATACTAAATTACTATAATAACAGGCAGAAAACAACGAAGATGTTCTGCTAAGTAACATTCTTTTCATTAATAACCACTGAGACTTGAAGTTAATTTCCTTTGAATAATACATTTTTCTAATAATTGTAAATCGCTTAATGAGTCTGTGTTATAATAAAATTGATTATTCACATTAAATTACTGTAATTATGCACTAACAAAAATAAATTATAACTACTCGTGTAGTATGCTGTTCTCTGTAGCTGAACCTGCAGAGTTTTTGTTGGTTAATGTTTTTAATTTTTGTTCTTGGTTCAGTCTGGTTAACATAGCATGCAGTTAATAATTTACAATACATATCAGTCTAAAATTGTAAGAAGAAATGCATCATAGAGATCCTGGAGTGCTGAAAGTATTTTTGGCATCATTTTTTATTTCTTTAATGCTTCCAAGTGCAACACTTCCAATGGATAATAATTATTGTGAATAACCATTAGATATCTCTGAAGTAACTTGTCAACCAAAGGTTGTTCTTTGTTCAGTTACTCCAAGACTTGCTTTTTATATTTCAGCCATTTAAAATATAAGGATATATACAATTACATCCTTCCACTTAAAGAAGGCCTTTTTTCCGGAGGAAGCTTCCATGAATGGAAGGGGGAGGCAAGAAATTTTCAAAAATACTTCCTTTCTTAAGGAAGCCCATCACCCCATTACTGCCTTTCACACTTCTATTCATGGAAGCTTCCATTGCATTGAGAGTTGTTCTCTGAGTGAAGGGAGACGATTGTATAGAACCCTAAAGTTGATTCCATTTTTCTACAGCAATCTTTGCATATTATATAAATGGCAGCTACTGTCATCTCTGTCAACCATAAAATAGCTGTAATCACCAGCTGATTGGCTCTTTGTCTCACCATCGGTTATGAAATAAGAAATACCTGATGTTTTCTTGAGTTGACCTTGTAGAAAATATTCTGTTCTAGTAAAGAAAGGGACAAGATAGGTGATTTCTGCTGCTGTTCTCTAAGCATAGAGCTATGTCCAAGCTTTACATACTTGACTGGTAATTTAATTACTTATCAGTTTCAAATGATATAGCTAAATATAGAATTACCTATAATTATTTTTAAATTATATTACTAAGTTTAAGCCAAAAAATCTTAGCTCCAGGTTATCATGGCTGCTTAGATCAGTTGCTAGAGCTGCTATAAACAATGATGCTTGTAGTGGAGCCGTTAATGACACTTGCTTGATTACCGTCCTTCCGAGCGTATTGCAATTGCTTCACTACAAGACTTTTCTGAAAGAGACAGTGGTTTGTCCACTTTTGAAGACCCTTACATCTAGCAGAGTTGGGGAATAATCAGAGAGGTTCTAAATTCTCCTGGGTTTGCTTTCAGCACAGAAGGTTGCTTTACATTTCAAGCATTTCTGGAGGAAGTGGATTTCTGAATCAATTTCAGCCCAAACTGAGTGCATTTGTGGGTATGAGGCACTTAGTGTGTTTCAGTGGGCAGAGATGTTGATTCTCCTTAAGCCCTCAATTACTTTTGATACTTCTGGACATTCGATATTCTGGAGCACTTGAAGGATTTGATAGGGCTTCAGGGTGCCTCTTTGTGATATTTCTGGTATGTGGAATAGCTTACATCAGGGACATGTTGATTCACTTCAAATCCTCCTTCAGCCACGACAGTTCTACATATGGCCTTAGATAGATCAGCAAATTTTGATTTATTATCTTGGTGAGTATAACATGGGACCACCCCATGCATGTCACTATGCATTCTTTTGAAAAAAATGTGTGTTAAAAATGAATAAATATTCTGAAGTAATTCAAATGATGTTATATGATAAGGTTCCTTACAGGAATACAACCTAATTTGCTTTAAAGAATTCTGACTTTTTTTTTTCAAATTGGTTTGTGCCTTCCCTTTTGAGCTCATATGAGTTCTGCATATACATCTATTTCAGGCCAGTTTCTCCTAGAAGAATCACGCCTGATAGAAGCAGCAGAGATGGCAAAGAAAGCAGCTGAGTTAGATAACACGGAATTTGATGTTGTGTTCAATGCTGCTCATATGCTCAGGTTGGTTGGATGGTTGTTTTTTTCTTTTAGCTCCATTGGGTATAAATGTCATAATTCATACTCCATTGCATTGAATTATGTGCTAATATTCAAATAAATGGCACCATGAAATACCTACTTTCAAGGAAATGTTTTATTATTTTTATTGGAATGGATATTTTGAAATGTCTAATCTTCTAATTAGCTTAAAATTCACATTCACATTACTGTGCTAGTGTTGTATTCTGTCAATATCTTGGGCAAAGACCCAGATCAAGTTTTTAAAAGAAGAACTGGCAGCCAGAACACTTGAAGGGCCAGACGTTGGCAACAAGGGCAAAGAGAGATTAGTGGTCAGACTCTGGAGAAGGAGAAAGTGCAAGGCAGTGTGTAGCTTCTTGAGCAACAAGTTTTGCGAAGTGAGGAAATAATCCTAGAGCAACAGTTGTATACAGCTGCTCAGCCGTCTCTTAGTTCCTCACACTGTCCACAACAGCTGTACCATCTCTGGCCATTATATGTGGGAGTGAGGAGAGCTTCAGCACAGCAAAGACAAGCCCAGTAACTTTCTCTGTGTCAGGATTGCTGCTGCGGCTCCGTGAGTAAATTGTTTTGGCCCCAGTACCTTGTCAACAGATGAAGTTAGGTCACAGTGTACCTCGATTCCTGGAAGCCTCCAAACTCAAAGGCTTATGAGCATCCTGTGGAGATTGGGGGTAGTGGAAATACGACCTTTTCTTGTTGTCTCTCAGACCTGCATTTTCGCAAGATTTTTGGCTCTTCTAATGAAAATGGTTTGGAGTGGAAGAGAAGGAAGCTGAAGAGTCCCCAGGATAGCTCATATCCTGTTCTCTCCAGTCTTCTCCCTATCCATTGGAACATGCCCTTTTGCCCCATTCCAATATTGCGTTCCTGACCTCGGAAAGGAAGCGAGAGTAGTTTATCTGCACCGCTGCAAGGGAATGGAGCAGGGGGCAGTTGATAGGAGTTGATAGGTCAGAGCCCTGCAGATCCTGTCTAAGGGTCATAGGATTGCCTCAAAACCCTCAGGAAAAGCCGCCCCGAGGCTTCGGCGAATGGGGCGGCATAAAAATGTTTAAATAAATAAATAAATGAATGAATGAATGAGACTCTACAATATCCGTTCAGATCATTCCTGTACTGAACTGCTTTTATAATGAGATTAAAATTAAGATAAACTGCTCCTACATCTGTTTTGTTAATACTACATAAAATATGAATCTCTCACCTAACTTAGGCAGGAAAACTATGAAAACCTCTATTTAGCACACTTGTAAAAACAAGATCCGAACCAAAATGCAGGTGCTTTTCATGAAAGTTTTGAGCAGTATCCAAAAACATCCCCTTTGGGTAAATTTTTAGTGCATTGCCTATTTACAGGAGGGCAGTGCTTCACTGACTTACCAAACCCAGATCTGATCAGCTCTGTGGTTTCATGATGTCATCCCATTCAACAGGCACTTTTAGACATAATCCTTCTTTCTAACCCATTCTTTGAAACAAGCATTGCAGACGTTCTGCTCCCCTTCCTTTACCCCTTCTAATCTTCACTGGCATTGGCACTAAGATTCTGGTTTGCCAATGGTGTTAATCCACAGTTCCCCAAGGACGACGTACAGCCCTCTTAGCCTCAGATGACTTCATTTAACTTTCCTAAGCTTATGTGATTGCTTACGGCTAGTAAGAAACTGTGCATTGGTGAAAACTGTTTCTTGATTTTTATTTGAACCTGAAATATGTCTGTTTCTTAAATCCCATTTCTATGACTTTATTCTATTTTTCAGTGCCTTACAAAGGGATCAGTGATTATCTCTTTTGCACTTTTTGTTAGCACGATATTTCTGAGGAAAGGAATATCTTCTCTCTCCATCCCTGAGTTCTGTCTTGTCCTACTTTGGGATTCAGTTCTATTGTCAAACGCGGAGCAAGTTTTGTAGTGTGATGCTGTTGAGAGAGAGAGAGAGACCTTATTTTTAAAATTAATATTTTTAAATTAGTATTTTCAGTGTATCCATCCACTGAAACCACTGAATATAATTCAAAGCACCTAGTGGGAATTTTCTGGTAAGTCCTTAGTAAATAGTTACTATTAAGAGACAATTTAGGTTTGTTTGAAGTATGAGTAAAATGTAAGAATAAAAGCAATCATCTTTCATTTCCATCTGCCAAATTTTAAATTTCTAGTGTGAAGTTGATTAAGCTTACCTTTTTTTTTTCCTTTGATCCAATAGACAAGCTAGCCTCAATGAAGCCGCTGAGAAGTATTATAAAATGGCAGCTGAGTTGAGACCAAATGTAAGTACTTTCACAGGGACGTGCACAAAAATGCAGAGCTGTATCATACTATTGCAAGAATCTGTGGCATTCTGAAGATTATTTTAGTTCTGCAACATTTGGTCTGTCAGCATGTAGTGAAAAGGTTCATTTAAGATGTAATTTATAGATTATTAACATTATGATGAAACCTCACCATTTGTCAAACCAATTACTGTAAAAATATATCTTCATGAAAGTGTTTGGAAATGCATAACTATTTTTTACGTACAATTTGTATAGTGGGGAAAGCTGTAGGGGAGTAAAGCATGTAGTCTTCTAGCAATTATACATAGGCTTACGGGAAAGTGTAAGCAGATATTCAAGTAAGCATCCATTTGAAGTTGGAGCTACCTGTTCATATATTGAAAGGGTTGTAAGGTCTTCAGTCCATTGAATTATAAGAAGTGAGTTGGGAAGTCCTTCTGCTTTTGTAATATCAGTCTTTTAGCTGTTAAAAGGGCACAGAAAATCCATTTACCCTCCCATTTGTTCATTTTCATGAAGCTGGTAAATTAAATAAGGAGCATGTACATTGCTGAAAAGAGCATGTACATCCAGTAAAAGAAATTATCTGTGCAAACAGCTGTTATTGGTGATGTAGATAACTAATTTATGCAGAGAGGTTCAAATCAGCATAGGAAAGCAGCACAATTGGGCATGTTGCTTTATGTGCATGAATTATCTGATTATTATTTTCTCTCTGTGTGTGTGTGTGAAAGTAGTTTTAAAATATTCAGTTTCTACTACAGGAGAATGAAACAATGTTTTAAAATAATTGCCTCCATTATTGTGAAGAAAGGCTTCATTCATGGATGAAATATGAGGCATCAGTGTTTGAAAACTATTGCAGCATGGCCTGTGGCTGTTAAGCTCCTCAGCCCATTCCATCTGTCCACCTAGTTTTTCCTGCCCTGCCCTGCCCTGCCAAGCAGTTGAAATTCTGTGGCTACCTCAGTACTCATTGGGTAGTTTTGGAGGGGTCTCTCTCCATGTAGGAGGCTTATTTAAGAAAAAAATAAGATTAGGAGGGCTCTGCGAAGTTTGGAGTTTTTCCAAAGTCTGATATTTCTGCTTTGTGTAGCTAGAATTGGCTAGATAAGCAACAGCACTTGCAACATGGACATCAAAATAGAAGGAATTAGCCAAGTTGTTTTGACTGAAATTTTTGTTATGGAAGGCTACAAAGCTTGCAGGAGGAAGAAGGGATTTTTGGCACAAAGTCTGAATTAGACAACCTAATAATAGGTTATTACTGGTCTGTAGTGCCACTCTTCAAATATTCCAGCAAGAACCTTTCATAGTGATACTCATTCCTCCTGACTCAATTTGGGATGGAAAATGGAAGTCTTTTCTTTCCACCTTGTAAATTACACTGATGTGTGGAATAGTTTGAAGTGCATATACTTGATTGGTAACAGACGTTCAACACTGCAGGTGGTATTGGGTCACTTCATATATTTTTAGGGGTACAACTAAGATGTTCTACATGTAGACCTGAAAATATTGAGTACATATGCAACAAACATAGTTTCACAAATACTATTATACCAGCAGCTAGGACTGGGAGCCAAAATCCCTACTGAGTTTACAGTAGATAAACTCAATTTTTCCTCTTAATGTCTCAACTACTCCAAAATTGTTATTTATAGCTGATTTCTTCTGTTTCATGGCTACTATATTCCTTTAGAAAAAGTCTACAGTGTTTCATTAAAATAAATGAATGACAGTCTCAGTATTTCAGAATAGAAGCTTGAGAATTTTGTCCCCCTCCTAGCAATTCCTAGCTAGGTGGATTTTTTGTCATTAGCAGTGTTACCCAGGTAGAATATTAATTCTGTGTAAATAAATGAAATGCCACCTTAAGGTATGCTTACTGAGGCTATTGAGTTATAGCACAATTGATAGAATGCCTTCATTTCTGAGATATGTTATTAGTACATGCTGTACATTCAGATACTAGAATAATAGAGTCTTTGACAGTACACATCAAGCTAGTTTTATGGTGCAAAGATCAGGTTAGCTTCATTCCAGTGTCCTTTTCCAAAGCAAAAGTCATTCGTTCTAATTAGATCCTGACTCTTGCTGGAAGGAGCAGTATTTCTGCAAAGATGCAGAAGTCAGTGTTTGAACTAAAATAAATAAATAAATACATTCATTTCAAGAGCAAAACTACTGAAGTTACCCCCACATCTGTTCTGAAAAGCAAGGGCACTTTGAAGCCTGGCCTCGGGAGTCTCAAATAAAACCTCACCAGTTCCTGGACCTCTTAGCCCTACAACCTTGCTGCATTCCTTCTGAAGAGGACATGCCCTACGCACCACTATCCCCTCAATCTCCTATCAGTCCTGCTTGCAAACTTCTGCTTTTGACAGGCGTAAACCCCATATCTTCAACACCTTGTCAGCTACAGCTGTTTCTACTCTATCACTTCAAAAAGCTTTGATTAAATACTTAGCATAACAACACACACATGCAAGGAAATACCCAAAACTTGCTAGGACCTTCAGGCAAACAAATTCAGCTTCCACTGCATAGCTTTATTGGAAAATGGAAAGTAATTCGGCCTGAGGGTTCATGTATGTAAATGGCAAGTGTATCTTCAGTGCCTAGTAAGATCTTTTGTTCAAAGGGACTAAGCAAGTGAAGCGGTCAAACCAAGAAAAATTCTCTGCCATATATGGAATCACCCAGCAGTGAAAATTGACTTTCATCCCAGCTTTCTGGAAAATATTACCAGTAAACTACACTACTTTAATACGTTTTTAATCAAAAACACATTCTAGCGCCTCCTAATAATGGCCATCATATGCTGTTATCATAAATTATGGCACATGCTATTTCACTACCAATCTAAATAATGGAAAGCCTACAGTGTTTCTTCCTAACCTGGTACATACGATTCCTCATCATCTGAGGGCAAAATGGGAAGAAATGTTTCAGATATTTTGTGCAAGGGTGCTATTTTTACCAGTTTTCTTACCTACTTCTAATTCAGATTACATTATAATTTCCCTAGCCCTATGGGACACTTTTCAGCTATCCTGTACCCCCTTGTGCAGAAGTATATCAGGTAAAAGGATTGTTCCATCACATGCACTTCTATGCGTTTATACCCAGGAGTAAGTCCCACTTAATTTAGTGGATTTACTCTTAGATAAGTAGGTGTATGTTTACAACCTTATATGCTTGTATTTGGAAAGGAGGTTATTTCTATTGGATTAATGTATGTTTGCTCATGTACATTTCTTCACGTTGTGTTATTGTGCTGGTTGTTTATGTGCAAATACCCTTTTTATTCACAGAACACATAAAATAAAATGTTTGCTAAAATTATTTTATTCTTTTATTTACTTTCTGAGACACATTATTCTTCATGAACTTTCCTGCAAGAAAAGGTTAAAGCATTTGTGTTTCTTTATGTTTTTCCCTTGTAGAAACAAACAGGCAATGTGGGGAGATGATAGAAATTTATAAAATTATGCACATTATGAAGAAGGTGCAGAAGGGAAAGTTTTCTTCTGTCCCTGAAACATGGCTTGCAAATGAAACTACTGATTCACATGATGCACTAGCAATAGGAATGGATCAAATTATTTTCAGACTTATGTCAACTTTTAACCTGTTTGTTCATAAATGAGTTCTGTCCTTTCTTCATATTAATCTCCTTTTAAAAAATCTGCATGAAAATTCATATAAATGTGATATGTGTATCATTAAATATGTATTGTATATGCACTTCATTGTGTGTATACAAACTTAAATGTTCATTTTAAGTTAAAACAAGCTTTGCAAAATTCCCAGAAGTGTGGAATCAGAAAGATAAATGTACTCTAGTCCACATATTTGTTCTGGAGATGTGGGTTATTAGTTCACCCCTAAATGCAAACAAAATTAAAACTTTGAGCAGCCTTAATTGCTAGGAAATTAACAGCCATAAAATATGGTGATGATCAAAGGGTTAATGGCTATCAAAATGGATTTCCATTCATCGAAAGATGGGTCTGTCATTGGCTGTTGGTCGTGATGGCCCTATGGAACTAGCAATAGGAGAGATCTATTGCTTTCCCATACCGCTTGGATATTTTCTGGGGTCATCTGGATGACTATTTTATCAAGGCTTCTTTTAACTTCATATAAATGTATAAAAACCAGTTCAAGGGATCTGGGGTCCGAATCGTTTTAAAATGCCATGGATCTGCAGGAAAGCTTGAGTAGCCACCGTATGCCAAATGGGGTACAACATACCTGTGCATTTTATTTCTCATCTATAAGTTATAGTTGTGTACAAACAACATCATGGTGGCTATAGAACTGCCTGCATCATTTTTTCTCCAGAGCCATTGCCTGTGGTTTTTGAATGCACTGCTTGGTGTAACTCAGAAGTAAAGTGTAATAAAACATAATATTCACACTAGTATATTAGCATATCAGAAATTAAACCATCTCTCTGAAATTCAAGAATCTAGCAAGATTTTCTTTCCTTGTACAGAACTTCATTCCTTATTTGGGAAACATTTCCATTAATACATCAGTCAATTAGAGTGGCTGATATATTTATTTATTGATTTGATTTGTATCCTGCCTTTCTACCAAAACATGGCACTTAAAGGTGTCTTCTAGAAACAATTAACATGGATTAACATAATCTATTAAAAGGCAATAAAACTTACCAATTTACAGGGGAAAAAATATCAAAATAGCATCTAACTCACCAGTCCCATTTAGAAGTTAAGGGCCATCTTAAATAAATCAGTGTTTGCATGCCAATAGAAAGATATCAGAGAGGAAGCAAGTGTAGTCTCTCTTGAGCCATAGCCTGAAAGCAACTGCCATAAATGCCCTTTCTTGGGTCACTTTGCTGAAGGTAGTGGTCTCAAAAGGAAGCCCCTTCCAGAAGGACTTCTATAGAAGAAGGCTTCTATAGATGGAGGCAGTCTTTTGGGTAGCCAGTCTCAAATCATATAGGGCTTTATTGGTCA